TAACATTTATCTAGCACTTTAAACCTACCAGAGATAATCAAAGATTTATTAGACTATTATAAAGATAAATAAATATGGTAAGTACTATGTTTTATTGATTTTTCTTTGTGTTAGCATCTCTAAAATTTTGGAAATCATAATTGATGGTGTCTTTTAGTTATAATTGGCTGCATTTTTCCTTTATGATACATAACAAGAGAGTGTTTTACAACTGATGATGCCTTAGATTTGTTGAGATATATTACCTTTCTAAATGATCACTCAATATTGAGATTTCAAGGCAGGATACACATGCTATTCATCTAGGCCTTTCCCTAACCCTAGCATGGAATATCACTAATTAATGCTATACTAACCAGCAAAGAAATATTTCTCTCACTGTCTTACACTAAGGCTTAATTCTTTGAATTCTATTAATGGAGAATGTTTATAAAAAGTATGTTAAATGTTATGGCAATATTGTCACCATTTTTTTTTCATGGAATAGATTAAGTCTTACTGACATTTTGACTATTCCTTTTTAATAGTTCATTACTTCTATTACTGTTATTAGGGATTCTTTCTTTCTTTCTTTCTTGTCTTGGGGCTTGAACAGTAATACATGGGCACTGTCCTGAGCTTCTTTTGCTCAAGGCTAGCCCTCTACCACTTGAGCCACAGTGCCATTTCTGGCTCTTTCTGTTTGTGTGGTATTGAGGAATTGAACCCAGGGCTTCATGCACTCTACCACTAGGCCACATTCCAAGCCCTCTGAGTTATATTTTTAATTCTGACTTGAAGATGGAGAAGGTCCCTGACTGATTAGGATTACAATTTTAAATAAGCTGTGCTAATTTGTTTAATAAGCTGATCTGGCTAGTTTTTGGTTAGCCTTTGTAGTAGGATATATAATTGTAATCTAGGAATTACCTCCTAATTTTTGTTATTTATGAGTTGCCTTTATGTAACACAGTCACACTGGTTTGAATTTTTTTTTCTTTTTGTCTGAACTAGGAATTGAACTCAGGACCTTACCTTAATAGGAAAATATTCTACCACTTGAACCATTCCTTAGTCTACTGGTTTGCATTTAAAACTTCATGTTCTCTCTTTAGAGATGGTAACAATAAATATTGGCATGCCAAAACATAAAAGAAGGTGTGTGTGTGTGTGTGTATGAACTGAAAAGCTGAATAAGCTACCACCTTAGGTAATTGACCTCTGAGCAATAAAAAATTGGCTGTGATTTCATGCATTACCATTGAGCATTGTTGAGATTTAACTTTTGTTCACTACTTATTGCATTCGTTTGAGGTGAAGTGCTGTGTGTCTCATTTTTAAACTCTCAACAGTTCAGTCATCTCTCATTGTGAACTCATCTCTCATTGTGAAAATCAAACATGATAAAACAGTAATGAGAAGTTAAAAAACAGGGTTAGAAAAAGTATTTTAAACCTGCAGTCTTCTAAATAGGAGAAAAGCAATTATAAGAGTTTGAAGAATCAATAGAGATTGATGTTTGATACCAATGAAAACTTAAGACCTTGAGTTCTCTACCCTCCCTGCCATTACTATTCAAATAGAAAAAGAAATCAATAGGCCTAGAAATGTAAGTTACTAAAGATTTGCTTGTAGCCACTTTTGATGCTCAAGACATTGTCTAGTATTCAGCTTCAGAAAATGTATGTATTTCAGCAGTTGAAAGTATACATTTAAAACTATCATTTTCTTTTTACTGTCCAGATTTGTATGTGACTATGTGTATGTGAGCATTGTACAGCAGCAGTCTAAGGGCATGAACTCAGGGCCTTCTTGCTGTCCCTAAGCTTTTTTGCTCAAGGCTATTGTGCTACCACTTGAGTCACAGCTCTGCTTTCTGCTTTTTGGTAGTTAATTTGAGATAATAATTCCACAGAAGCTTAGGCCTGTAATTCCTAGCCATTCAACAAGCTGAGAACTGAGGAACATGGTTCAAAGCCAGCCTTGGCAGGAAAGTCCCTGAGATTCTTTTTTTCCCCAATAAACTACTCTGAAAACACTGGAAGTGGCACTGTGAATCAAGTGGTAGAGTGCTACACTTGAGCCAAAAGAGCTCAGGGAAAGTGCCCAGGGTGCAAAGTTCAAGCCCCAGGACTGGCAACAAAAAACAAACAAAAAAGAATATTACAACCAGGCGCCAGTGGCTCACGCCTGTAATCCTAGCTACTCAAGAGTCTGAGATCTGAGGATCTCAGTTCACAGCCAGCCTGGGCAAAAAAGTCCCTGAGATTCATATCTCCAATTAACCACCCGGAAACCGGAAGTGGCGCTGTGGCTCAAGTGATGGAGCGCTCACCTTGAGCTGAAGAGCTGAGGGACAGCGCCCAGGCCCCAGAGTTCAAGCCCCACGACCAAATAAATAAATAACTAAATAAAAAATTACAGCGATTCCTGGTGGGGCTGCCTTTGAGACACGAGCCTCAGAGCTCAACCTCAAAGTAGCTATGATTATAGGCATGAGCCACTGATGCCAGAAATATCAACATTTTTTATCTTTTTTTTTTTTTTGGTCGGTTGTGGGGTGTGAACTCAGGGCCTGGGCGCTGTCCCTGAGCCTCTTCGTGCTCAAGGCTAGTACTCTACCATTTGAGCCACGGTGCCACTTCCAGTTTTTGGAAGTAAGAGTCTTATGGGGACTTTCTAATACGTAGGCTGGCATTGAACTGCCATCCTCAAATCTTAGCTTCCTGAGTAGCTAGGATTACAGGTATAAGTCACTTGTGTCCAGCTATCTCTTATATTTTAAAATTAACTTTTTGTGTTGTTTCTAGCTACTTAACTACGTTTTTCTTTTTCTTTTTCCTATCAGTTGTGGGGCTTGAGCTCAGGGTCTAGGCACTGCCCCTGAGCCCTGAGCACTTTTGCTCAAAGCTAGCATTCTACCACTTTGAGCAACAGTGCCACTTCTCATTTTCTGGTGATTAACTGGAGATAAGAATCTCATGGGGGGGGTAGTTGTGGAAGTGGGAGGGAAGGGATGGTTGGGGGCAAACAAAGGAGGAGGCAACAATGCTCAATAGGAAATGTACTCATTACCTTGCTCATGTAACTGTAACCCCTCTGTACAGCATTTTTACAATAAAAAAATTTTACAACAAAAAAAAAATCTCATGTGCTATCCTGCCTTGGCTGGCTTTCAAAAGCAATCCTCAGATTTCAGCCTCCCAAGTATGTAGGATTACAGGTGTGAGCCACTGGCACTCAGTTTAACTAAGAATTTTTAAAGGTTCTTCCCATTAGAAAGAGAAGTGGGACCACACTTAAAATTGCCAGTCTTTGTCTGACTATATTTGACCATTTACATTTCCTGGGTAATTTTGTAGCTCTGACAGTAGGAGATCTAATCATAGAGTTTTGAAATGAAAACTGAGCATGGGACCTATCTGAACCTGTGAAGACACAGGGGACTTTGAAACTGAAGATTAAAAATTTCAACCTCTGTTTGGAGGGTTAAGGAAGGTGTTACTTGACTGAAGGCCATGAGGGCTTGTGTTTCGTTCATATAGGAGTAAAATCCATGAGACTAGAAGCTTTCATGGGAACAAAGTGATTTCTATGTCCAAATGTTTCAGTTTTCTATGTTTTCCCAGCAATACATGCTCAAAAATATTAAGTTAAGACATCCCAGCCTATCTCAGATCTTGTAAAACCCAGTCTTTTGGGGAAACAACATACATTTTTTAAATACCATAGCTTTGCGTGGAATGTCAGTTATTAATGATTGTTAACTCTCAGGAGCCAGTTATGTATAATCCATAGCTGGCTGTCTAGAAAGCCACTACTTTTTCTTTTATTTGAAAATTTCCCTTTCATTTGAATAGATGAAAGTGATAATAGAATAACAAATTTTAACGAATTCTCAATCACTAAAATTCATTTACTAACTTGTGTACTACATTATTAATAACCAGTTATTTGACATGCTTACAATTTGATTATTTCACACCACTGTGTTGGAATAATCCTATTTCACAAATTATTTTCTTGACAGTATTTATGTGAAGGATACTTTTACTCTACAGAATGTAGAATTTGTTCCTGTATGTACAGAGAAGAGGAGAGATAAACTAGAGCAAATTTGATTACAGCTCTTTTATTATGCCATGAAACAAACCTTCATTTACCTTTTTGTGTTTCAGGCAAAACTACTACCAACAAAACTACAAACCTTCCATACCATGAATACAACACATACATGGATAGACTAAGTAGCCAAGATGAGTAAAGGAGAGAGGTCTTGATTAGTGTTAAAATTAATTTAGTGTTAAAATACATATTGTGAAAAAGTAATAGAAAGAATGGAACTAAGGACATGATTCTATTCCAGAGAATCTCTGGACTGTCATTTCTATCAGTGAAGCTACTTCTCAACTTTATTTTATTAAATTTGTTAGGCATCTCTTAAAATCTTGATTTTAATACAATGAAGAACTTTGAAGGCCATCTGTGTACATCCCCTTTTTCGAGGGGGGAGTGTGTGTGTATGTGTGTGTGTGTGTATGTGTGTGTGTTGGTTCTAGGGCTTAAATTTGGGGCCTGGGTGCTATCCTTGAGCTTTTTTTGTTCAAGGCTAGCAATCTATCACTTGAACCACCACTCCACTTCTGGCTTCTGGTGATTAATTGGAGATAAGAGTCTCATGGACTTTCCTGCCTGGGCTGGTTTTCAAACTTGATCTTCAGTTTTGGCCACCAGAGTAGTTAGGATTACAGGATTATGCCACCAGTACCTGGCTTAGCCCTCATTTTTATATTTCTGCTAGGTTATTCTTTGTAAATCAGTAAGTGTATTCTTTATCTTTGATCCTTAGTACTTGGCACAGAATTTAGAAGGTCTCTTACAAGTATTTGTTAAGTTAGTTTAAAGAGACTAATCTTCATTGATGTTAGTCAAGATTCCACTAATAAGGCTGGTAGTTCTTAGTTAATTGTAGCAATTAAATGTCAAATGTGACTTTTTCTTGACCTTTCTTCTTTCATTAGATTTGCATCTGCTGGGGATGATGGAATTATAGTTGTGTGGAATGCCCAGGTGTGTATTGATTATATGTGGATTATGAAATAAGTGTATAAATTATAAATAAGTATATAAATTATAAATATATATTGTTATTTGAGAATACATGAAATTATTCAAGGATACAACTAATACTTGGAAGAGCTACTCAGATAAATTCATTTAAAATAGACACTAATATTTCATAATAAAGAGGAAATTTTTCTTAAGATTTTTTCCCCCTAAGAAACAAATGCCATTTTTATGGGGAAATGTACCCTTGAAAAAAATATAGGTAGTCAGCAACTATGTATTGACTTCCAAAATGAATCAAGTATTTGTTTTGAGAGGTGCAACGTTTTCTTTGAACATTGTGTATTAGTGTAGTACAACATGTTTGACTTTCTATGTTTGACTTTAATAATATAACAAGAGGTTTTTCAAAAACATTTAAGACTTCAAGTTCCTTCAAAACCTCTCTTTCTGCTTCTTTGTTTTGCAAATGATTCTCTTTTAATGCATTTTTCTTTATTGTTTCCTTATCTGGGGCTACTATCTGGTCTGACAGATCTTCATTTTTCAATGGCTTTGCCTTTCACTAAAGCAGTTCTGAAATATTACCGTCTTTTTAGTATACCTCCATCCCACAAACTGCGCAAGCTCAACTCTCTCATAAAAAATACTATAGTATTTTCATATGACCTGTATATCTTTCAATATGGTTTAAACAATTGCTAAATTACATATAATACCTAATACAATGTAAATACGATATACATATTTTCAGTATGAGGTTGGTTGAATCTGTGGATTCACAGGGAATCATTGATGCACAGGGCCATCTGTGCTTTCACCACACTTGCGAATTTGGAGAGATTTTCAGTTTATGTTATATTTATATTTTATTTTTATATATTGGAAAATCAGTGAGGGACTGAAGGAGAAACAATGAATGAGTGAAACTAGACATGGAGTAGAGACTAACTTTATAAGTAATTGGTCAATTAGTGTACACACACATTGTATGCTGTCTTGTATTTTGTTACACACTTATAACTGTTGAGAACTATATACAAATATGTGGATACAAAGGGCCCTCTATTTGCATAATAATATTCTTGAAAATAGGGAAGAATATTCCTTTAAATTTTCTGTAGAGATGTGCTAAAATTAGCATTTATAATTAGAAAATAATCAAAACTACTTACAGTTATTTTTTCAGTACTTGTTTAGGATGTGAAGGTTCTTAATGTTGTCATTGAAGATTATTTAAATTGTGAAATATGAGTTTATTAAGATTCATATTGTTATTTCAGACAGGAGAAAAACTTTTGGAACTCAGTGGACACACTCAAAAAATAACAGCTGTTACTACATTTCCGTCCTTGAAACCTTGTGAAGAAAAAAATCAACTCCTCTTGACAGCTTCTGCTGATCGAACAGTTATTATATCCTTAAATCTGGAAGAGAATGAAACAGCCACAGGGACCCAAGGGGCCACTACACACATTATTAGTCTTTAGCCTCTAAAGAATATATATGTCCATATATTCTTGCTGCAGCAAAAGTGATTTTGCTCTAGTCTTCAGAACACAGTTCTTAAAAATCTTACGCATCTGAGAAGGATTAGACTGGAAGTAGTAGGTTAAGTCTTGTCTTCATAGAGACCCTATGATGAAAGATGTTCTTTCCAGAGTTTCTGTTCTATCATTTTGTATAAAATGGAAGGATGTAGGCTTAAAAATATGTATTTTGTTATGTCAGTTTGCTTCCCAATTTAGAGAAACCAAGACAGGTTGGACTGGAGAATAATTCATCCCTCAAATAACAAAAGAAACTTCATGCCCTCAACCCATGAGAACTTTTAGATCACCTTAGTCTGCAGAAAAATGCAGTATTAATATTAGTACTTAATATTCTCAATTCAAAATCAATTTTTAAAAAGTAGTTGCTTTTCTTTTCCTATATTTTTAGTGAAAAAGTTAAGATAGAACAGCAATTGTAAAGTTTTATAAAATGATTGTATACTATATACATGGTTGAATTTTCCATAGATTGACCCATTTAATCTTTAAAATAGCTCTTTGCAATATCTTCTTGGTCATTTACAGATAAGAAAGTAGAGACACAGGTGTTCACCAGCCTGGGAAAAATGTTTGCTCCTATCTCAACCAATAAAAACAGAGTATGATGGCAGGATTCCTTTCATCCCAGCTCAGAGGGAATTGTAAATAGAAGGGTCAGGTCTAGGCTAGCTCAGGCATGTGTGTGCATTATACTTTACAGGTGTGCATGTGCATGCACAAATACATACTTTACATGAGTTTATGATTGTTTATAGGTGAGAAAATTTCAAAATATCATTTAAGTGGGGGATAAGATATGCATGTGTGTGGTGTGCTTTATTGTGTGACATAAATAATGGCATAACTCTTGCTCAGATGTTTAGGCTAGATTGGCCTTAGTACTACTACTCTACTAAGGCAAACACTGTTATTTTAAATCAACAAAAACTAGGTAGATCAATTTATTTTTTTGGATACGTCACAAATATAATTTTGAAAGGGCTATTTGACATATTTCATCATTAACTGCCAACTCTAGATACTTAATGCAAGGCATACCTTGGCCCTTTTAATACAATCAAAATGTCTTAGTACATGACTAATGATAGAGATACAGTAACATATAAAAGGCATAGTATTAAAGGAGTGAAATACTTCCTTTCAACTGTAATTAGTTGGTAAATAAGCATACAATAATGATTATCTTGACCACTAGTGATTTGTAGAATAGAACCTACAGGTCTACATACTTAGAAGGTTGACTGTAGTAAAAAAAAATTTTTTTTTAATGGTGTTTTCATTGGTGGCTTCACAATCACAGGAAGAATGGCATGTATGCTGAGTTACAGAATTCGGGCAATGGTTCACATTAGTTCTTATCCAGATCAGGATGTTTTAGAAAATTCTAAATTGTGACATATTATGAAGTATATTAAGGATGAATAATTTATCAACCCCCAAACCATTTACTAAGTGCCAACAGTGAGTGGTAGGAATACACAAGAATGGGGGTAGGGTGAGGTAAAATGAGATAAAAGGCAAATGAAAAGTGGAAGAAATATATTTGAATATTGGGGATGTGAATGGTCTTTGGAGAAACTGATTTAGTAAACATTCAGAAGTGCCCTTCCCATGAACTACACCCCTAAGCGCAGACACAAAGTTCAGAGCACAGTTTGAGAAGATACATTTCAGCTGTGATAAGACTATACTTAGATTAGGATTACAAGTCTCATTCTGTTAGGATATCAATAGATATAACTAAAGTTCCTCCCCTCCCCCCACCTCAGCATCAGAACAGTCTGCAAAAATGGAACTGAAAATCCTTTCTCTTTACTAGACCATTCCTAAAATACAACAGTAGTGTTTCATGGCAATTATTATGATTACTGTTACAGTACAGGTAATTAAGTGCGAAAGTGTAGCTGTAAATGCTAGTATAGAGTCAGTTCCTTTGCTGAATAACTTTTTTTTTTGCTGTTAAAAAAATCTAGGGTTCTTAGTTGGAGGTTTCTTTTATGCAAGTGAATTATTATTTCTTGTTATTGGTTGTGGGACTTGAACTCAGGGCCTGGGCACTGTCCCTGAGTTTTTTGCTCAAGGCCATGCTCTACCACTTTGAACCATAGCACCACTTCTGGTTTTCTGGTGGCTAATTATCTTACTCATGTAACTGTAACCCCTCTATACAGTATCTTTACAATAAAAAAAATACATATAAAAAAAAAGTCTCACGAACTTTCCTGTGTGGGCTGGCTTTGAACTGCATTCCTCAGATGTCAGGCTCTTAAGTAGCTAGGATTATAGGCATGAGCCTCCAGTGCCCATGTTACTCAAATGAATTATAAATCTACTGTGCCTGGGTAGACATTATTAATTAATATATTTAATTAAGTACTAAAAGTCTTTTTTAAAATTGTCAAGCAATAGAGCCTTAAGAGCTGGCAGTATTCAAAATTGAATCCTTTCAATACAGAGCACTTATACTTTCAAATAGAGAGCACTTTTATGTGTTAGCAGTTTAGTGTGATAACACATATGCATGTATATTTGGAGATATATAACTATATCTCTTCATAATTAGCTACATTTAAAGAATGAAATAGAATATTATAAAGCATCAGACATGATAAGATTAACTAGTTTGTTAAATTCCTTTCAATTTTTAATATAAAATATGTTAGACATGTCATAAAACTTATTTCTTTCCATAAGAAACATAAAAAATTGAAAATTGCCAAGCCCGGTAAGCCAAACTAGCCCTGGAAAGGCTATGAGAGGCCCTCGGATATTTCAGAAATAGATAATGCACTGTTAGTGTCATTTTTGAATCAAGATAACAAGCAGTAAGTCATGCCAAGCTCATTACAGGAGTTTTCAGGAAATAACTAATAGATGCAGTAGCTTTGAGTATGCATGCTCTGTGTGCATGCCTATTATATTATGGTGGACTGTTCTGGAGAATATAGTCATGACAGCTGTAGTATTAATCCCCATAAAACTGAGACCATTCATTCTGTTGGCACTTTCCTTACGATTTAACAAGAAAATATATCTTAAGCATATTTGGAAACGTTCCACCAACTTGATGACTTGCTATGGGAATTCATTTTTTGTCAGTATAAACACTATATTTCATGTTTTATATAGAGATTTACTTTAATTTCTAACTAGTAATATTATCTCCTAATTAAGAATTTCATTTAGAAACTACTTCTTAACATATATTTAAGTATGGGATTGTGACACCGGCCGACAAATTCAGAAAGTGTCTTGCTTCCAGTCTACTGTAAAGGTAAAATACTAAGCAAGCATGGGATTTTCTGTTAACTTTTTATTAGTTTACATTAATTACATAGGGTTGATTTCATTGTTGTATCTTCACATGCTTGAAATGTATTTCAGTTAACCTCATCCCCGCTGTCACTTTCCTTGCCTCTCTTCCCACCTTCAATAATTTGTTTTTTTTTCCCCTTATGAAAACACAGTTTATGAGATGAAATGCACTCATAGCCATTTGATTCTGAGACTTGACTTTTGGCAGTATATATATTATTGTCTTAGAATGCTTCAGTTGGATATTACAGTGGGGGCTGATTACTAAGCAAGACAAGAAGAAAGGTAGGACCTGATGTGTTTAGTAGGTAATTCCAGAAAAAGTACTATTTCTAGAAGGACTGTAATATATCTGATGTTTTATTTATGTTTTAGTCTAGAAATGTTATTTGAGGTTATTTTTCCTTGATCTCTGCCTTGTAGTCATTTATTACCTAGTTCCCAGACATAAATATTTAATGTGACAAATTGACTTCTTACAGAAATATTAACTAAGGCATATATGATATGAAATTTGCTACACATTAGAGAAATGAACAGGGATAAAACTTGACTCCTTGTGATTCAAATAAAAGAAATGACCTTATATATTTTGAAAATGCAACACCATTTAAAAATGTCAGCCAGTTTGGGAAAAGATATTAGTAAAATGAGTGCAATCTCATTTGCTTTAAAGTGGCTCATCTCTACTTTACTCCATCACCTTGAAAAGTAGTTCCACTTTCAGCTTAGGCAAGACCACCAAGACCTCCCCTTTTTCCTGTCAGTTCTGTCCTGCTGTTACCATTGTTCTCACTCTGAGTTCTTAGGCCTTAGGTAACAAGAGGTCTATAAGGGAAGGAACTTCCTTTTTTTTGTTAAATACTTTTTTATTGTAAAAATACTGTACAGAGGGGTTACAGGTACAGGGCCAAGGTAATGAGTACATTTCCTATCAAGCATTGTTACCTCCGCCTTTGTTTTTCCCCTACCATCCCTTCCCTTCCACCTCTACAACTACACTCCTGCCCCCTCACAAATTGAAAGTTTGTTTGTTTTTCAACATAGCGTCTTATAAATCTCATTGTTACAATGGGTCAACCTGTATCCCTATCTAAGCATTTTGTTTTTTCCCTTCCCCTCCCCAAATTAGAGAAGTGTATATACAAGATGCAGGGCATCGACATCAAATACAGTGAAAACATGAGTTATACTGTGGGGGAGGAACATACAAAGAAACAAAAAAAATCACATAGTACATTATAAATATGTTAGAAATAATAGCAAGCAAGGAAAAAACCACTTGTGTCCTTATCTTGGGGTTCATTTCGCTTAACATCATCTTATCTGGTCATATGTACATGGCTTTTGACCTTTTCTGCTTGTCCTAGACATATACTAGTTATTGCAAATAAGGGAAACCATGGGAGCTATGTTTCTTTGGGCCTGGCTTTCTTCACTTAATATAATTTTTTCCAAGTCTTTCCATTTCCTAACAAATGGGGTGATGTCATTCTTTCTGATGGAGACATAGAATTCCATTATATATATATATATATAGAGAGAGAGAGAGAGAGAGATGTATGTATGTATGTATGTATGTGCCACATTTTCTTGATCCATTCATCTAGTGAGGGGCATCTGGGTTGGTTCCATATCTTAGCTATGGTAAATAATGGTGCAATAAACATAGTGGTGCTGATAGCTTTAGTATGGTCTTGTTTGTGATCATTTGGGTAAATACCCAAAAGTAGGATTGCTGGGTCATAGGGGAGCTCTATGTGGAATCTTTTGAGGAACCTCCATACTGCTTTCCAGAGTGGTTGAACAAATTTACATTCCCTCCAACAGTGCAGTAGGGTTCTCTTTTGGCCACATCCCCTCCAGCATCTGTTGTTTAGAGTTTTTTTTTTTTTTTGTCGGTTGTTGGGCTTGAACTCTGGGTTTGGGCACTGTACCTCAGCTCTTCAGCTCAAGGCGAGCACTATACCACTTGAGTCACAGCACCACTTCTGGTTTTCTAGCGGTTTATTGGAGAGAAGAGTCTCACAGACTTTTTTGCCCAGGCTGGCTTTGAACCGTGATCTTCAGATCTCAGCCTCCTGAGTAGCTAGGATTACAGGATTGAGCCTCCGGCACCTGGCCTAGAGTTTTTGATCATAGCCATTCTATTTGGGGTGAGGTGGAATCTCAGTGTTGTTTTGATTTGCATTTCTTTTATGGCTAGAGAGGTCGAGCATTTCTTCATAAGACTATTGGCCATTCTTATTTCCTCTTCAGAGAAGTTTCTCTTTAAGTCTTTAGCTCACTTATTTATTGGGCAGTTGTTTCTTTGAGGATTTGTTGTTGAGGGATTTAATTTTTGAGTTCCAACTGTATTTTAGGTATGAGACCCTTATCCATGGGCTTTCTATTGATCTTGCTAGCTATATCCTTTGCCATGCAGAAGCTCTGTAGCTTCATGCAATCCCATTTGTCCAACCTTTCTTTGATTTGTTGTGTTTCGGGGTCTTTATTGAGAAAATTTCAGCCTGTGCCAAGAAGACCTAGGGTTTCTCCTATTCCTTCCTGTAATGTTTTCAGGGTGTCTGCTTTGACTCTGAGGTTTTTGATCCATTTGGAGTTGATTCTGTTACAGGGTGATCTATAAGTATCTAGCTTAACCAATATAAGGATCTATAAGGATCTAGATTAACCAATTTTGCCAGCACCATTTACTGAAGAGGCTGTCTTTCTTCCATTCTAGTTTTTTGGCTCCTTTATCAAAGATTAGGTGGCTATAGGTCTGTGGGTTCATTTCTGGGTTTTCAATTCTATTCCATCTGTTCTTGTGCCAATACCAAGCTGTTTTGATTACCATGGTTTTGTAGTAGAGTTTGAAATTTGCTATTGTTATTCCTCCAGCACTATTCTTTCTGTTATGGATCATTTTTGCTATTCAGGGTCTTTTATTAAGAACTTCCTTTTTTAAAAATATAATTTTAGGGGTTGGGAAGGTGGCTCAGTGGTAGAGTGCTTGCCTTGCATGCACGAGACCCTGGGCTCAATTCCTCAGCACCACATAAGCAGATAAACCGTAAGTGGCGCTATGGCTCAAGTGGTAGAGTGCTAGCCTTGAGCTGAAGAGCTGAGGGACAGTGCCCTGGCCCAGTGCTCAGGCCCACAACCGACAAAAAAAAAAAAAAATATATATATATATATAAATTTATTGTGATTATTAAGCTGTTGTACAGAGGGGTTACCATTTCATATGTAGGTAATGAGTACATTTCTTTTTTTTTTTTTTGAGTGTTACCCCTTCCTTCACTTTCTCCCAGTTTCCCCTTCCCATCTCTGCCCACAAGTTAACAGAGGTCATTTTCCACAAAGTGTTCACTGAATATGCTAGCATGATTGCATTTGTTCACCATTCCTCCTTCCCTTCCTGCACTTTTCTTCTCCTCTGCTCAAAAAGAAGGGGAAAAAAAAAACAAGCAAAAACAAACACCACCACCACTAACTACAAAACCTCCATGTTTCCATTTCTTAGCCCTCATTTTTATAAATAGCATTTTAAATGTTCAGAGAAGTTACACCTTTGGGTTCTTCTCCTAAAGGTATCCTCCTTTAGTCTGTTTGTGAATGCCCAGAGTCCTATACTGGATATCACATCCAGTTATATTTTATATCTAGCTTCCACAAAATGGAAAAGAAATATGCGCTGTTTGTCTCTGAGCTTGATTTAGCATCACTTAGCATGATTTGTGCTAGGTCTGTCCATTTCCCTGCAAATGACATAATATTATTCTTTTTAATAAATGAGTAAAATTGTGTGCACGTACCACATTTTATTGATCCACTCATCTATCATTGGGCATCTTGGGCTACTTACATCACTTGCAAATAGTGCAGCAATGAACATGGATGTGCAAGTGTCTTTACTGTCCCCTGGCTTGTGATGTTCTGGGTAGATGCCCATAGGGTTAGTGAAAGACACTTTGCTACTATTAAAGGTAGTTCTTAGAACACCCACTTTCATGAGTTTACCAAATAGAATTATTGAAAAGAGGAGATAATTAATTTGAAACATAAAAAGTGAGGCCATATTTTTTATTTTATTTAAAAAAGTCTTTAAGCATTATGTACTAATAACAAATTTCCTCAAATCTTGGTGGCTTAAAGCAGTTTCACAGCATTTGTGGTCCGGAGTAAAGAGTATCTCAGTTGAGTGAGTTTGCTCAGCATCTCATGAGGTTTTGTTATCAAAAAGCTTGCCCTGAGTGTGTGTCCCCCTTTCAAAGGCTCGCCATGATATGGCCAGCTGGTGGTGATAGTGTTTTGCTGGGTAGACTTTGTCCATGTTACTGCTATTGCCCTAGAGCAAATCCTCTATGACTTAGTTTTACAGGTCATGTACTATTCCTTCTGGCGCATTCTAGTCATGAAATAGTAGTCACTTAGTAGAGCCATGTTCAAGAGGAAAAAGTAGCAATCTTGGAGGGAGGGATTTCAAAGAACTTGTGAACATAATTTTAAAACACTGAACAATAATGCTTGAATTTCTAAACTGATGTACATTTCTAAATAATTTTGCAGTGCTTAACTGTTCTTCAGAAACTAGATGTTTGGCTTTCTGGTGGGAATGACTTGTGTGTATGGAACAGAAAATTAGATCTCCTATGTAAGACCGGCCACCTTTCTGATACAGGTAAAAATCAACAACAACAACAAGGCAAGGTCATTTGTGAATCTGGCGCATATACTGTTAAAAAAACAAAACAAAAAAACCCCCCAAACCCTAGCAAGTCTCCACAGAGACTTCATGAATACAGGAGTCTGTGTAGGGGATTGTGTTTTTCAGTTCAGAAGATAACAGTTGCCATATTTAATTTGTATTTTCATCTCAAAATCACTTCATGAACATTTTTTTAAACAGAATGTTTTCTGCATTTAGAATTGTCTTTCCCACACTTGCTTTCTTTTTTCCTTCACTTTCTCCTGCACTCCTCTTCTGCTTTCTTCTGTTTTCTTCTCCTCCTCAACAGAGAAGATATAAAACTACCGGTTTATAAACCTATGTGGAAGAGAAATTAGGATAGAAGTAAATGAGTGGAATATTTTCCAAATTTATTTATGTAGTATAAATTATAAGGAAAAATTAACTTTAGTAAGCGAGATTTTTTGTTTTGTTTTTTGTGCCTGTGCTTGGGTTTGAACTCCGGCCTCTCTTGTTTGTTTTTCTTGCTCACAGATGGGATTCTTCCACTTGAACCACATCTCTAGTATATCATTTTTCTGATTATTTGGAGATGGAGTCTTGTTGACTTTTCCATCCAGGCTAGCTTTTGAGACTGAATCCTCCAGGTTTCAGCCTCCTAAGTAGTGAAGATTATAGCTGTGAGCCAACATGCCAAGGCCAGTAAACAGTTGTTGTTATTACTATTTTTTTGCTAACATATATTCTAATATATTAACTTTTTAGTTCTTGCTGACCGAAGTGATTATTATAGTATATCTTATAGAAGTTATGGTTAGCCTCAAATTATTTCATGATTTAGTTATACTCAGAATGCTATACTCATAGTAATATATGATGCTATATTCATAGCATACTATGGTCATAGTCTCTGGTATCTGAAAGGCTGAGGCAGGAAGATCACTTGGGCCCAGGTGTTTGAGGCCAGCCAGGGCAATATAAGAAGATCCTTCATGTCTAAATGTTTCAATAAGGAATTTTGTTAATGTGTGTTAATTGATCATAAACATCCTATTTGAAGTCACTTCTTTAGCTATTCATGTTGATATAGCAACAACAAACTCAATTTATACTCTTAACAACAAGCTTTTGATAAGCAAAGCTGCTGTAGCAGGTACCAGCTGAGTGTCCTGTAAGTCGATTCTGATACTGTCTACTGGAGGTGGCCTTTGATCCCACAGGGTTGAGAGCTCAGCCCCCACCATTGCCTAGACTCACTTGTGCCATTCACAAGCCTATTTGTTTTACTTGAGCTTTTGACCTACTGACTATAAATGAAGTTTCTTTTTTTTTTTTTTTTTTTGCTGGGGCTTGAACTCTGGGCATAGGGACTGTCCTTGAGCTTTTGTGCTCAAGACTAGAACTCTACTACTTAAAAATTCATGTTCAGCTTTTCATGGTTAATTGGAGATAAGAGTCTCAAGGACTTTCTGCCCAGGCTGGCTTCTAACCATAATCCTCAGATCTCAGCCTCCTGAGTAGCTATGATAAAAAGCATGAGCCTCCAGCAGCCAGCTTATAAATTAGGTTTCTTTAACCTCTTCCTTGGGTTTAATTTGTTAGAGTGGATCACAGTTCTCAGGGAAACACATTTATCAGTTTATTATGGAGGATATTACAAAAATTACAAATGAAGGGGGGAGGGGGGTGGGGGAGGGGGGAAGGAGAAGGATTGGGATTGGGGGGGGGAGGGGGGAGGCTGGGAAGGGATGTGAAGGGTAAACCAAAGGAGGAGGCTGCAATGCTTGGTAAGAAATGTACGCATTATCCTGCCCATGCAATTGTAACCCCTCTGTACAGTATGTTCACAAATAAAATAAAATTAAATTAAAAAAATAAAAAAATAAAAAAAATTACAAATGAAGAAATATAGAGAGCAAGGCAGGTGGGAAAGGGCATGGGGCATCATCCTGCGAGTCATCTTCTAGGATGACTGTATGGAATTTATCTAAGGTAATCCTTTGCTATAGTATCTCTCTCTTTCTCTCTCTCTTTCTATTTCTCTTTCTCTATTTCTCTTTTTGTTGGCTGTGGGGCTTGAATTCAACATCTGGGTGCTGTCCATGAGTCTCTATGTGCTCAAGGCTAACACGCTACCACTTGAGCCATAGTGCTACTTCTGGGTTTTTGAGTGGCTAATTGGAGATAAGAATCTCACTGGGACTTTTCTGCCTGGGCTGGCTTTGAACCATGGTCCTCAGATCTCAGCCACCTAGTAGTTAAGATTACAGGCATGAGTCATCAGTGCCCAGCTTTCTTTTTTTTTTTTCTTTTTTGTCGGTCGTGGGCTTGAACTCTGGGCTTTGGCGCTGTCCCTCAGGTCTTTAGCTGAAGTCTAGTACTCTACCACTTGAGCCACAGTGCCCCTTCTGGCTTTTTGTGTTTATGTGGTGCTGAGGAGTCGAACCCAGGGCCTCATGCATGTGAGGCAAGCACTCTACCACTGAGCTATCTTCCCAACCCCTTTCTTTTTTAATAGAGAGTTTGTTACCTAGGCATAGTTGATTAAATCACTGGTCTTGATAATCAGCTTTCATTTTCTTTCTATTTCCTGAAGATTGAGGACTGGGACTGAAAGTCTCAACTTTCTAATCCTGCCTTGATTTTTCCAGTGCATAGGCGACCAGTTTCCTAGGATCAACTGGCAACCCATCATTTTTATTGATACAAAAGACACCATCATTGAAGATTCAAAGGATTTTAAGAGTTATGTGCCCTCAAACAGGATGAAAACAAGATATCACATTAGTTCATTTAGTAACAATGAGTATGGTCAGGCTTTTTCCTCTCCAAGAGGGACCCCCAATTTTCCATCTTTGAGCTAATGATCTTGTAATGGTTGATGTGATTAGTAGAAGAGATCCCTGGTAAATATGTGGAATGGCTGAACATACCACTTTACCACTCTGAAAAAACTCAAAAGGCCATTTCCTACCCTTAATAGATTAATAATGTTTTCAAAAGGCCTCTGAAACCTATTGTAACTCTCATTTCTCATATTTAAAACATGAATGTTGCAGGCTTCATGTACCTTCATGATGGGAAATGAATGTAATAAAACTGAGAATATTGTTTTTTTAATCTAATCCATGAGAAAAACATGTTTTTCTTTGTTTTATGTGTTTACAAAGGGATCAGTGCTTTGGTTGAAATACCTAGGAACTGTGTTGCAGCAGCAGTTGGCAAAGAACTGAGTAAGTATGTTTATCTTTCTACTTTATGCATAGTTGTGTATATAAATACATAAAACACATACACAAATATATGTATTTTGAAACTAGACTGCTATGTAAATGGAAAGACTAACTAGAGGCTTTAGTATTTGGTAGTGGATTTGGAGAGTTAATAAAGGGAGTGAGTTCTAAAGGAATCCTGACTTAGGCTTTTAGTTTGTCATTTTATATATGTTATGTATTTGAAAGAAATAGTTTAAATTAGTATGAATAAGGTTCTCTTTGGAAATGGGATTTCTAATGTGGTAGGAATTTTTCACATAATCAAATGCTTATTTTCTTGAGTGGAAATCACTTTACTTTTGAACATGTAACAAAATATTGTCTTTAGTAATTTTTAGGTTAGTAGCACCCATAGAAGCATCACTGGAATGGGATGTTATTGAAGTTAAGCGTCTTCTTGATCACCAGGATAATATTCTGTCATTGGTTAATGTTAACGGTAAGCTCATTGTATACTTTTATATTATGTATACTTTCATTCTTGTTAACCCAGCACACTCTGAACTCTGGTCTTCTTTGGTTCCAGGAGATAAGCTGTCAATAAAATAATAGTTTATATTGGTGTTATTGTCTTTTACTTTAAGCTTTCAAGCTAGCAAAGCTGAGCAGATCTCATATACTTTCAGCGCTAAGACTTAGGCACCAGCATTGGCTATGGTATAACTCTCCAGATTTCACTTGGTAGCTATGGGATGATCCTGGTAGGCCGAAAATCCATTGCCTCATAGCATTCTAACCTTGTTGGAAATTATTCTGGCTAGTTCCTCTTGTAGAGAAGATTGGAAATAGTTAAGCACTTTTGTCTTGTTGAGCATATAGTATAATATCAAGTAATAGTATATAAAGTGGAATGAGTAAGATTTAAGCTAGTTGTAATCATGATCAAAGACTCAAAGGAAAACAAAGTTCTAATGAAAATGTATTACGTTTGCCCTTCTTTCTGTTATTCACTCTGACTTGCCAGACATCTTATTTGGCTCCATAAATAATTTTGGCATGTTATCTGTGAACTGAGTCAGACATCAGATGGAAGGATAGGATCACAAACCACAGATCTCAGCATTTAGCTCATTCACTTTCAAGTGACACCTTCCATCAACAGAGATCTTCTGGGTATCCGTGAATAAATCAGGTGAGAGGACTGCTGTGGTGGAGAATGTAAACAGCTTCTCCATTGCCACTTAGATACAATAGGAGCACTGGTCAGCACCCCTAGTTACAAATGGACATGAGGCCTGGGATGGCTATTTTTGAGCAATATTTTGTATAAACATGAGACAAAGAGAGGAGAAACAGAGAACACCAAGTGTAGTCTCCCTTTGTGTCTTTTTGCTATTTGGTCACATTTTCAAATCTGTGAAAAGTCATTTCTAAAATTCTTCCCCCATTTGAACCTTCTTGGCAACATGAGTCATAAGCCCCAAGTGTTTGCAACTGCTGGGAAAAGCATGACTATGGTGGCCCACTGTACTAGTCTTGCCTGCTTAGTTGTTTTGCTGTGGCAATGCCATTGAACCAGCATAATTACTTAAATGAAGAGGATGGGATGGTCTCAAGATAGCCTTTACTTCATGGTCCTCCTTTTTCTGGGTGCTATGTAATTAATCTGGTGTGTGTGTGTGTGTGTCATGAGGAACAAATCTAGCACATACTAGGTGTGTGCTCCACCATTGAGCTGTACCCCAGTCCAAGACTTCTTATAAGAATACTTCTTTGCCAGGTCCCCCTCTTGCAACCTTCTACCCTCCCACCTCCCCCCTCCTTTCTTCCCTCCTAGAAATCATGATCCTTTGTTGCCTTTGCATCTCAAGTTCTGGGATTAGAAGTGTGTGCTACCACACTCTAGATTCTCAAAGGAAGAAAAATGGAAAGATAAAGAAAAAAATAGTCAATGAAAGATGCAGAGGGCCAGGGATGGTGGTTCATACTTATATTTCCAGCTACTTTGGAGTAGGAGATTGGGAAAATCATGGTTCAAGGCTATCCTGGGCAAAAAAGTTATCAAATGTCAACAAACTAGGTATGGTAGTCACATATTTAATCCTGTCTATGTAGGACGCATAGGTAGGAGAATTGAAATCTGAGTCTGGCTCTAGGTGGGACCATACCAAAAAAGTAACAAAAGCCAATGGGGTTTAGGGCATGGCTCACATGGTGGAGTGCCTTTCTAACAAGTGTGAAGCTCTGAGCTCAAGCTCCATACTGTCCTATACACACAAAGAAAGGAAATTACCAAAAGAAAACCCTCCATGGCCATAGTTTATATTACAGAGAATAAATACAGCTAAAGCATATTTAGGAATCATTCATGGCCAGGTAGTCTGGCAAAGCTTGAAAAACATTGCTAACTGTTTACTCTTGTCAGTGATGCTACAGATTTTGACAATCCCAATATGATTGTGCTGTATAATTCTCTGGTCTATTTTCTGCACATTTTTGTCCTCACCCATTACCAATGAAGGATGTGGTCAGGTACTTGTTCCTGTATCACAGAAGTGCATGTTTAGTGAGGTGGCCCTAGCAACCTTAGCATTATGAGCTTGAATTCCCACAATGTGGAGAATATATTCCAATTTTTCATAAAAAAACAAAACAAAACACCAAAACACCGGAATGTCCAGACAGGTTTCCTGAGTAGATACAATAAAATGACCTTGTAACCTCTTCTGGGGAAAAGCACTGGCTGCTTTTTTATTTCTGTTCTTGTTTTGTGCTGACAGTATGGTACAGTAATCACAAAGCGTTATACTTAGGAGGCATAGATCCATGTCAGGTGAGATTTTTTGTAAGTGACTCGATACAAGCTGACAATCCATTCACTAGTAAAGCACCATTGAGGCTTTTGGTGTGAACCATTTTGAATTACCTATCTGGAAATGTAAATAATTTACACAGTGTTAAACTACATGAATGCCAGTACTTTGCTTTTAGTGAAAAATTCCAAGCAGTATTGTTTGTACTGTGTTTCTGTTGCATTAAGGAATGATAAGCACTTGAAGGGCTAAGGCAGAGTAAGAAACTGGCCTCAGTGTGCTCTCAGTACTTAACTGTCTGTTATGACTACACACCAGAGTTGGAGTCAAGAGGAATCTTTACTCTAGCATCTCTAATTCTTTTTTAGTTTAAGTGAACTTGGAGGAGGGATAAAGGTGGAAGAGAAACATGTAAAGATTATTCCTGCTTTAAATTTGACAGTACTGTATTGAAACTAGAAAGTTATTTCTCTTCTGAGATCCGAAGTGAGCTTTCTTCACAAATAAACTATGTTCTGTTAATAAAGTATAGAAATTGAACTAATAAGCTACCTTTTATGGTCTTGGAACCAAGACAAAATAGTGTTTACATGTATGTTATTAATTCTTTATTTCTAAGAGACTCTTCATCTGGTTATTAAGAGATTTCTGTCCTGCTGGTTTATTTGATAAATGGAAAAATTAAGTCATAATTATCCATCTGTATAGGCCCAAATGGCAAGTTACTACATGTTTTAATATCATTAATTCAGAATAATACCAGTTACTTAACAATAGCAGAGACTCAATGATAACATTTTAAAAACTTAATACACTTATTATTTAGTTTGACTCCTATAATAATCTTCATTTAATATATGAGGAATCCAGAGAAAGGTTGAGTGGAAGGTTGAGTGGTTTTCTTAAAATCATGTGGCCATAACAGATAGATCCAAAATAACAAATTGGTTTCTGGATTCAGACATTGGTCTGTGTCTTGCCTTAAATATATATAAGAATTATTTTAAAGAATCATGTAATTTTTAATCTAGCAGCTATACATTTTCTATTAAACATATATTATAAAGGGTCTTGGCCTGCTAATTTCAACTGTTTAAAGGTTTTAGAAAATATAATTGTACCAGATATACACAGTCATAGTAAAAAAAAAAAAGAAACATAAAAAGTTAAAATTAGCTGGGTGCTGGTGGCTCACGCCTATAATTCTAGCTATTCAGGAGCTTGAGATCTGAGGATGGTGGTTCAAAGCCAGCCAGGCAGGAAATGTCCAAGAGACTCTTAGCAAAAGAGCTTGGGGACAGTGCCCAGGCCCCAAGTTCAAGCCTCAGTACCAGTACACACACAAAAATAGAGTTAAAAATCATTTCATGATCTAGTATTGAAGCCTAATCCATAGGCTAGGCTCAGTGGCTCACATCTTTGACCCCAGTTACTTAGGAGATAATTGGGAGGATCACAGTTTGAGGTCAGTCTAGACAAAAAGTTAGTGAGATCTTGGAAGTGGTGCTGTAGCTCAAGTGGTAGAGTGCTCACCTTGAGCTGAAGAGCTGAGGGACAGTGCTCAGGCCCAGAGTTCAAACCCCACAACCGACAAAAAAAAAAAAGTTAGTGAGATCTTATTGCAATAAATAAGACAGGTAAGTGGTTCACATTTCTAATCCCAGTTTTGAAGGAAACATGGTTAGGAGGATTGTGGCTTGAGGCCAGTCTGGGCAAAACATGAGAACCTATTTGAAAATAGGGCCAGGGAATGGCTTAACTCAGGTCATAATCCTGACCAATCCATATCCTTTGTGTATTTCTTTGCTACAAGGTGTGTGTGTGTGTGTGTGTGTGTGTGTGTGTGTGTGTGTGTGTGTGTGTGTGTGTGTGTGTTATTGATTCATAACAATATGATACATACATACCAATATAAGCATACTTTTACAATGTAATTTTCAACGAGAGAATTTTTTGGATGTCTTACTTATTCCATTCCCAGTTAGATGTTTCATCTTCAAATCTGTCTAGCAACCCTGTAAATGTATCTTTTATGCATTTCCCTCAGGATATAATCATAGAAGTGGAATTTGTGGATCAGTATGCTTACTTTTTTGTAGTTTTGGTGCATATTACCAAATTCATATTTGAAAAGATTGGACCAGTTTATACTGATGTATATGAAGATACAACAGTATGTACAATGCCAACACCCCATGCTTTGCCAGTAATACTGGCTATTTTCTGTTTTATATAGCTTATCTATACATTTAAATTTACAGATGTTTTATATAGTATATAAATTTACAAATGTTTATATCATATATCTGTGAACTTGTTTATAAATCTATAAATTTCCCAGCTTGTAAGTCAATAAATGGATGTTATTGCTTTTAGAATTTGTTATTAAAATAGTCAAATTTATTTACATATTTACTTACCACCTGTATTTTAATTTTTCCTGTTCAGATCGTTTGCACATTTGCCCTCCCCTGCTGGTTTAATTATCTCCTTTTTAGTGATTTCTGATACACTTTATGTATCATGTATATAATCCTGTTTTGACATCCACACTGCAATCAGCTCTTTATCATTTAAGTGTATATTTTTTTTTGTCAAGCCTATGTTTACTTGGATCTTCATCCTTACCTGATTCTCTTAGGTCCATTACCACTCTAGAATTTTTCTTTTTTTTCTTTAGTCCTTTAAGTGCCTTTTATGTTTTTATCTATTTGAGGCTTATTTTGGTATATGTTCCAAGCAAGGCTCTTCTGGTTTTCATTCCCCCCAAATTTGTTATTGAATGGAGTACAGTCACTGTCATGTAATTCAGTAAGTATGAGTCAGTTTCTGATCTCTTTAGGGTTTCATTAGTAGTTTTGTTTGGCTTGTCTAGATATCTTATTGTTTTGATTACTGTGATTTTTATGGAGCCTCAGTGCTAGGTAGTCTATCCATTTTTACCCACAGCCAGGAAAATAATAATAATGAAGCATATGTGAACTCTTCCTAGATGTGAATTTTGTCACTGGCTCCCATGTTGGAGAGCTGATCATCTGGGATGTCCTAGACTGGACTGTGCAGGCCTATGAGCGCAACTTCTGGGACCCGTCCCCACAGCCGGACACTCAGCAAGAGATCAGACTCTCTCAGAAACCACATGACATTTCTATTCATCATTTCACATGTGATGAAGAGGTAAAAGTCTAGTTTTCTGCAGCTTTTAAAATAAATCCAATTTCCGAATTTTAAAATTTAATCCCACGATGGACCCAAAACAAAAGTTTAAGCTGGGTTTTAAAATAGTCTGATGTTTTGTAGAGATTAATCTTTTCTCTTAATCTGGAAGCATGGAAGTGATTACATAGCCACAGATTTAGAAACCACTGAAATTTTGGGTTGGATTAAATGATTCCATAGGAATTTGTTAATTGTTTTAAGAAATACCAGTTCAGAATTTTCTGGATGATTCTAGTATATTCCCTAGAGAGATAAAAGAAAATGGTAGGGAATGTTCTTTCAGTCTTCTGGCATCCTGGCCAAGATAATTGGGTGAGAGTGCTTGATCTGTGTCCTTTAGACTTTTGAAGCATTTGTGCTGTAAAAGAGATTAATACCAACAAATTGCTTAAACTAGTCTCCAGTTTGAACAACTCTCTTCTTTTAGCCTCAGGGCCTCAGAAAAGTAATTTAAGGGGTGTTACTCTTCATCTTGTATATACATTTTTCTAATTTAGGGAGGGGAGGGGAAATAACAAAATGCTGGAACAAGGATACAGGTTGACCCATTGTAACAATGACATGTATAAGACACTATGATGAAAAGGAACTTTACAACTCGGGGTGGGGAGAGAGGAGTTGGAGAGGTAGAGAGGGAAAGGATAGTAAGGGAAAAACAAAGGAAGGGTAACAATGCTTGATAGGAAATGTACTCATTACCTTACTCATGTAACTGTAACCCCTCTGTACAGTATTTTTACAATTAAAAAAAAAGTTGGAGAAAAAAATTACAAAAAAATGTTCAGAACCTTTTAGATGAGTGTATGGGAAAAGTTTCTTTCACTCTCTTTTGTGGCTTTCTATTCTGTCTAAAAATTCTAGTTGTAGCTGGGCAACAGTGGCTCACTCCTGTAAATCCTAGCTACTCAAGAGGCTAAGATTTGAGGATTGTGGTTCAAAGCTAGCCCAGGCAGCAAAGTCTGTGAGACTATTACCTCCAATAAACCACCAGAAAACGGGAAGTAGTACTGTGGCCTAAGTGGTAGAGCACTTGCCTTGAGCTGAAGAGCTGAGGGACAGAGCCCAGGACCAGAGTTCAAGCCCCATGACCGACCAAAAAAATAAAATTTCTAGTTGTGCATGCTGTTAAGTAAAATTATCAATAATTTTGTTCTGGAGGTAGAGAACATTTTTAAAGTCTTCTCTGTTCCACTTTTCCAAAACAAAACAAAAAGTAGAATTAAAACAAAAGGATAAGAATTGATTTTAAAAGTTCATTTATAGTCAAAAATTGTTTCTATGATAAAATCAAGACCTAAGGAAAGATATAAACTGGATTAATTAGACCCTTCAAAAGTTACAAGTATATTTAACTTTATATCCTTTTTTTATATTTGAAAAGAATAATACTTAAAAGTTTTTTCATTTTGTACTCCTTTTAGTTTTTAAATTTTTTATTGATCTTTATTAACTGCTAGGAATTCTTGATAAGGCATTGCTCAGTTTCCCCTAAGTTTCCTTCTTTTTTTTCATCTACAGGTTCTTTTTACCTCCCATTAATTATTATTCATAGATACTGTGTGTCTGTTGAGTAAAATACTGCTCTCAAAGCTTTTACTTTTTTGAATGATCTTCTGCAGTGTTTTCTTTTGCCTTTTATACTTTGGTGGATTTGGTTGTTGTTTTTTTTTTAACATTATCCTTAAGTAGTTGTACAAAGCGATTTCAATTTCAACATGCCAATTTGTGACTGCAGAGCATCTTGACCAGTGTCACCTTTTCATTATTCTCCTCCCTAGAGCTCTTGTGTTTATATTTTCTTCATGACCTTGTATAAATCACTTATACTGCATGGGTTTATTAGCCTAAAGAATAGGTTTCTGGGATTATGTGTTAAGTACAAACCTCAGCACTTTAGGTTTTAGCACTTTGGTTAGCTGTTTTCTTTAATGTACTGAGTGCTGGTTCTCAGCTTGCATTACTGGAAGTAGAGTATCAGTCCTGAGGGCCAAGGGGATCATTCCAGTTTCCACTTTGGTATCCTGGAGGGCTTTGGTTCAGCCACTATTGGTCTCAGTTAGTTTGTAACCATGGGCCTCTGGTTGAAAACAGGGAGGTAGTCTATATGGAATTTTGAAAGGTCTGCCTCTCAGGGGTACCTACTGAGTAAGAATGATTCCACGATGAGCACTATCTAGTCTAGTAACTTAGAAAGGAATTTCTGAAACTGGGTGGTGTGGGGGGAGTAAAGAGCAAGGGATTAGATAAAATGTGTGACAAATATTTTTTAAACAAACTTGCTCATCTGGAAAATGGCAATAATGCCTGCCTTTCTTACCTTGACAAGATGGTGCAAGGCTGAAGTGAGATGAGCTCTCAATTTCACAATATTGAAATTGTTTTTAGTAAAAACCTATTTCTAATATCACATACGCTGGAAGGTTTTTTGTGAAGCCTTCAGAGGACCTTAGGGTAAGCGTCACACCACAGCTTATGCTTTTAAAACAATCATTTGTATGCCTCTTGATTGCTTAAGATGTGAGGTGCAAGTCATTTTGCTCACATTTTCCAAGCAAAAGAAGCTAAGTAATTTTTCCAAGTGTATAGTGGTCTGTGGAGGAGCTTTTGCTGCAGGGCTGGCCTGACAGCCACAGCTTTCTCCTCGAGCTGTCATACTTTAGTGAGGAGAGCATTGGTAAGTATAGAGCATGCAAAGCTCCTCTGTATTAGGACTGTTTCCTTCTGCTTTCTAAATATTCCCAGCTACATGGGAAAGTTGAGAGAATGATGAAGGGGTGACACTGATCAAGATGCATTGTACTTATAAACTGACTTGTTGAATTGAAACCCCTTTGTACAACTACTTAAAGATAATTTAAAAATGGTGGAGGTGAAGAGCAACAAAGTAGTTGTGGCTGAAGGCCAGAAATAGGGAAGATAATGTGGCTTTCTCATGTCACACATGCTGGAAATCTCTGATAAGGTGGTCATAAATGCTAGTTTTATGCCCATTTCTGAACTTTTACCCACAGAATGTATTTGCTGCAGTTGGAAGGGGTTTATATGTGTATAACCTTCAAATGAAGCATGTGATTGCCTACCAGAAAACTGCACATGACTCCAATGTCCTGCACATTGCCAAGCTTCCAAACAGGTACAAGTTCTGTGTTCTTCAGTAGGTGAAAGCAAGCCACAGTTCCTGGCTGCCAATGCATTTTCTCCGGTGACCAAGTTACCTAGCTCTGGCATGAGCTGCTGGTTCTTTGGGGGAATGGAGACTGCTCTGGCTATCTCTATCAGAGGAATTTTTTTTTTGTCAGAATACCTGACAAAATTACAGGAGCCAGACTCAGCTGAGTTACGTTGAATTTCATTGTGAGGTTATTTAAATGTTGGTGTTTATTTAACAATGTAACAGTGTACTAATTTCTCCCTTTGTCGTGGTTGTGTGTTTATGGCCCAAATCAAATGGCAGGCTCATTGTTGTCGAGTGAGAGTTTTCCTCTCAAGATAGAATGGCTGCTGAGTTTCTAGGGATTAAATTACAGGCGGGGAATAGCACTGTTTTCTAGATGACATACTTCTTTATTTTTAAATAAGTTTCATTGTGATGCAATTAAATTTGTAAAGTACATTTAGTACATTGATCAAGTTGTCTGACATCAGCATTGTCTAAGTCCAGAACATTTTCATCCACTGTCATGGATATTAGGAGACATGGTTTGGGGTTGGTAGAAGAATTTACTAAGAGAGAAGAATAGGAGAAGCAGAAGTTTGCGAGGACACTGCTGGGACAAGGGAGACAATGTGGGCAGCTGGCCGGCCAGGAGCACAACTCTGCTGCTGCTCCCGCTGCAACAGGTGGATAAGGACAGGTTTTGTTTTGGGATTTATGGATTGCATTGACTCGCCATTTCTTTTTAGACCATGGTTCAAATTTTGAGGATGTGGAAAAGACTTTTCCTTACCTGCATTTCATGCGTTTCCTCATTCCACCTGACCCGACGTGTGTACTAGGCTTCCCTATGTTTCCCCCTGGACCTTGGTGTTTCTCTATCTCTGCCATGTCCTCTTAAATAGGGGTCTCCTCCTAAGCTAATCACTGAGGAACTATTCCTTAGTAGTTACTTCCAGTTGGTTTCTGCCCCTATCACTTGACAGCTACTAATCTGATCCATGGTTCTATGGATCTGACTATTCTCCAAAGGGCATAGTTACAGTGAGAAGCACCCTGAAAAGAGATACAGTAGAGGAGGAAAGAGGACTGCTCAGGACATTATGAAAATGTAGTTCATACTGTTTTCCTGCTATAATAAATGTATGGTATTTGAGCCAGTGTTGCAGTGTAATGTGTGCCTTTCCTGTTAGTTTGCATTGTGAAGCCATATTACCATTGTGTGTGTTATCAGCTCCTACCAGTTGCTGAATGAAAGCCTTTGAGAGCTCCAGTGATTTCTTTTACTGCAGTTAGCATTTGGCCTTCCGTGGCACACTGTGTCTTTGTATCACTGATTTTCTGTTCTGACAGGCAGTTAATCTCATGCTCAGAAGATGGCAGTGTACGCATTTGGGAGTTACGAGAAAAACAGCAGCTCCCAGCTGAACCTGTACCAACAGGTGTGTGTCTTTCGCCAGAAAGGTAGTAGTATATCTGCCCTCTCCTTTGTGGTTTTCTCTCCTTCCTTCCCTTTTTCCCCATCCCTTCCCCATCCTCCTTTCCCTCTCTTAATTTTTTTCATATGATAGGCAAAAGAAAAATGATTATGTGAAACACAGGAATAATACAAGATTGCCTGCAATGATTATCAGATGTTTACACGAAGCTATGGTAATCAGGATGGAGGATTCATGTCTTAATATTGCCACAGTGGAGAACTGCTTCTTTATTTCAGTTCAAGTCAGCTGGGATTGTTTTGAGGGAAAATTTTGTTTTCTAGTTATCTGAATTAGCAAATGGCCTCCTGAAATAATTATTCAGTTAGACTGTCTACAAGTGTGACTGGTACACTGATCTGTACCATTAGATGTAAAACTAAAGTGTTCATTCGCCTTGAAGCATTATCAACAGTGAACTTAATTTATGGAAAAACTCACTTTTTTAATTTGTATTATAATCTCATGAACTCTTGGACTTTTAGGTATTCAGTTTGAAAAATAAAACTCTGATGTATTAGTTCCCAACTCAATATAAAAGCAGACACTGGTTTATTTTGTTTTTGTATTTTTACTTTTCTTCCAGTGTCTATGTTTTTTGGTTTTTGTCATTTAATATACCTTCACCAATAGGTGAGAAGGAACAATGAAAAAAGATTAATAGCAGATCTCCTTAGTTAAGAAAAATGAAACAAAATCAACATGTTTTAAAGACCCAAGGGTACTATCTGGTAGCATCTGCTTAGACCATGACTGAATTTGGAACCTATTTGCATTTAAGTGCTATGTTTTGGCAGCTTATGTTACCATTGTTAAGTAAAGAATTTGGTAGTTTGGGAAATGACTGGGATGACTTTGTCTTTCTAGGCTTTTTTAATATGTGGGGATTTGGAAGAGTGAACAAACAAGCCAGCCAGCCTGTTAAAAAGCAACAAGAGAGTGCCACTTCCTGTTTGCTGGAGCTCATTGGAGATCTGATTGGACACTCATCCTCAGTGGAGGTATGCTTGTTGTAGGTGTGTAGGACATACAGTCCTGCTTCTGAATGCTGCTGCTCTTTGAACTCAGTTGGTTTAAAATAAACTTTTTTCACATGTAGGTATTTGTTGGCTCTGAACATGGGATAATCCTATCCCATAGATTAGAGGACAGGCAGTTAGGCTCTTCCTTTACAGAGATAGGATTTGAGGAAGTCTTCAGAATGGGCTTTCTCACCCTTCACTAAGGACAGTGTGAGTGATGCTGGATGTATATGTGTGGCAACAGTTACAATGGAGGGAGCAAGAAGGCTTGTGATTATACAAGGAGAGTTCAGACCTTAATGGATCTAAGTTCAGGCACATTTCCTAAATAGAGCATTGTTTTCACTTCCCTTTGATGGACAATAACTTGTGTTTAAAAAATATTATCATTGTGCACTTCTGAGAATGAGTTGGAAGTGATAGAAAACATAAATTTTTCACTTAATATAATTTTTTCCAAGTCTTTCCATTTCCTAACAAATGGGGCAGCGTCATTCTTTCTGATGGAGGTGTAGAATCCCATGGTATATGTATACCACATTTTCTTGATCCATTCATCTATTGAGGGGCATCTGGGTTGGTTCCATATCTTAGCTATGGTAAATAATGCTTCAGTAAACATTGTTGTGCTGGTAGCTTTAGTACAGCCTTGTTTGTGATCAGTTGGGTTAATGCCCAAAAGTGGGATTGCTGAGTCATAGCGGAGCTCTATGTGTAGTCTTTTGAGGAACCTCCATCCTGCTTTCCAAAGTGATGAACAAGTTTATACCCCACCAACAATGCAGTGGGGTTCCCTTTTGGCTACATCCCCTCCAGCATCTGTTGTTATTAGATTTCTTGATATAGCCATTCTAACTGGTGTAAGGTGGAATCTCAGTGTTGTTTTGATTTGCATTTCTTTTATGGGTAGAGAAGTTGAGCATTTCTTCATTTGTCTATTGACCATTCTTATTTCCTCTTAAGAGAAGTTTCTCTTTAAGTCTTTAGCCCACTTGTTGATCGGGTGGTTGTTTCTTTGAGGCCTTGTTGTTGAGGGATTTAGTTTTTTGAGTTCTAAGTATATTTTAGATATGAGACCCTTGTTTGTTATTTGGCTAGTGAAGATCTTATTTGCAATAACTAGTATAAGTCTAGGACAAGCAGAAAAGGTCAAAAGCTATGTACATATGACCATATAAGATGATGTTAAGTGAAATGAACCCCAAGTTAGGGACACAACTGTTTTTTTTTCTTTCTTGCTATTTTATATTTAAAATGTACTATGTGATTTTTTTTGTTTCTTTTGTATGTTCTTCCCCCACAGTACAACCCGTTTTCATTGTATTTGATGTCCGTGCCTTGCATCTAGGATATACATTTTCCTAATTTGGGGGAAGGGAAGGGAAATAACAAAATGCTGAAATAAGGTTGACCCATTGTAACAATGAGATGTACAAGACACTGTGCTGAAGATGAACTTTTTTACAACTTAGAGGGGAGAAGAGGGAGGAGCTGGGGATGTGGGGAGGGAAGCGATGGTAGAGGATAACCAAAGGAGAAGGTAACAATGCTCGATAGGAAATTACTCATTACCTTACTCATGTTACTGTACATTTTTACAATAAAAAAATTTAAAAACACACACACACACACAAAGAAAACATAAATTTTGTAATTTGTGGAAACTCAAAGACTTTCATATTTACTACAGACATCATTGCTTATGATGGAAAAAAAAAGATCAATGGAGCTGAAGAGCTGTTTAGAACTGGTAATAAAAGATAATAGATTAAGCTGCCCTAAGTAATGAATATCTTAAAATTGTCCTTCTGTGGTTCATACCCAGGAGGAAGAGGTTACTTTTCATATGAAAGGACATTCATGCTTAGATCCACAGCATCATGCTGGCTTATTGAGCTTTTCCTCTACATCATGAGTATATTTAAGACTCACTAGATATAAAACACAATCCTTGTCCTCATAGACCTAAGAGAGGACAGAGACAGACCTTATGAGCTGTTTATTGGGGCTGCTTGTGATAGACCCAGAGGAGTAGCAGATAACGGTCAGCAGTAAAAAGAAACATTTCTGAGTGAATCTATAGATGTTGTGGAAGATGTGAGATTGGAGATGAGCTCTGAAGGTTACGTTAGACTTACATTGGATTATTATATAGTCTTGTCATCACGAGCTCCCTCTTAGGGGTATTGTCTTTTCACCTTTGCTTTCCTTTACCAAGTACTTATTTTGAGCTTTGTTTTGGCTTGGGGACTGTGATGTAGTTTGGGGTGGTTAGCATGGAATGTGGTAGTAGACAATGGTAAACAGGCACACTGGGTGTCCAAGAAGAGACACTAGTCATAAAGGCTGGAGAGGTAGTTGGGCCTCAGATTATCAATGTCCTTTAAAGTAAGGCTGAAAAGTTTGCACTTTTATTTTTACTTTTTATTAATTCCTTGGTGGTACAGCATTTCAATGCAAGCTCTCCACTAGTTGAGAGCCTTGGACTTTATTTTATAATAGTGGTAGATCATTAGTTTTTAAATGGTGGAGGAGACCTTTACAGCTTGAATGCAGCCTGGATGCTATCCCTGAGCTTTTCTGCTCAAGACCAGCACTATAACACTTAGGCCACAGCTCCACTTTGGGGATTTGGTGGGAAATAAGAGTCTCATGGACTTACCTGCATGGGTTGGCTTTGAATCAGGTTCGTAGATCTCAGTCTCCTGAATAGCTATGATTACACATGTGAGCTGCTGGCACAGCTTTGCAACTTAAAAAAAAAGTATCTGTGGCTTCATTGATAAAATCTAGGTCCTCTTAAAATCTAGGTTCCTTAGAAGCTGTCTACTGAATGTCCTCATTGAGACTATATTTTCATTGCTGCTGTCTGGCACAACCTCTCTACCTACGTACTGAATTCTACCTTTCCAGTCTTTTGAGATTTTGCTCTTAACATCTCCTGCCTTCACTCTGTTACCATCAGTAAGTCCTTGCCATATTCTGCTGTCTTCAGGAGAGAACTCTCAACATGTTTCTTCTGGTCATCTATTTCCCTCCATCAAAGACCTCATTTTTTTTTCCTTTCTGGTACCAGTGCTTGAACTTAACAACTTATGCTTTGGCTTAGCTTGGCTTTATTTTTTATTTATCTTTTTGGTTGGTTGTGGGGCTTGAACTCTCTGGGCTTGGGTGCTATCCCTCAGCTCTTCAGCTTAAGGCGAACGCTCTACCACTTGAGCCACAGTGCCACTTCTGGTTTTCTAGTGGTTTATTGGAGATAAGAGTCTCATGGACTTTCCTGCCCAGGCTGGCTTTGAACTTCCATCCTCAGATCTCAGCCTCCTGAGTAGCTAGGACTAGAGAGGTGTGAGCCACCGGCGCCCGGCTGGCTTTTTTTGATACCTGTTCTAGGACTTGAACTCAGGCCTAGGCTATGTCCCTTAGCTTTTTTGCTTAAGACTAGTCACTACAGAGTTTATATTGAGGATTCCAAAAAAGTTTTCTGTATAGATGATGATGATGGACTCACAACATTATGTATTTTAATGCTGTTGCATTGCATACCTATGATTCCATTTTTTTAACTTAAAAAATTTTCTCACCAAGCACAGTGAGGCACACAACGTAGCTCTCAGAAGGCAGAGGACAGGAGGATCAGGAGTTTGAGATCAGCTTGGGCAATATTAGAAGGAGACCCTGTCTCAAAACCCAGATATAAACAAAAAGGTACGAAGTGTGGCTCAAATGGCAGAGCACTTGCCTGACTTATGTGAAGACCTGGATTCAATTCCATAAAATAAATGAAGGGAGGAAGTAAGGAGGGAGAGAAGAATAATGGTTTCATATTTAAATTCAAGTAAGTTATCAAATTATCTTTTTTAAGCATGCACATAAGTAGTGGTCTCTTCTTGAAGTTCCTGTAATCAGAAGTCTCAATTTTCTTTACAGATGTTTCTGTACTTTGAAGATCATGGACTAGTGACTTGCTCTGCTGATCATCTCATTATTTTGTGGAAAAATGGGGAGCAAGAATCTGGATTGCGCAGTTTAAAATTATTTCAGAAGTTAGAGGAGAATGGTGACTTATACCTTGCTGTTTAGTTTAATGAAGAAAGCACAGGTATCTGAACTTCCAATCGCAAATATAAACTATGGAATAATGTGTTATTTAAATTTGTGATTTTTTTTCCTGTCTTCCAGATTCTGCGTATTTGAGTTCTTTTGCACTTTTAAAGTAACCGGAAGTAGCGTGTCAGGTTTTGGCATATTCACCTGTGGCATATATTGTGTTGTCTTAAGTCATAAGTGCTTTGTTCTCAGCTACTTTGCCTGAACTGAGCTCTTCAAAGTAGTAGAAACAGAGGTAACAGTAAAGTTGTGGTGTTCTAATAGGATTTATTTTTATTTCCTTTAGAGCCTGTTTAATTTACCACATCATGTGGTAAATATAGCCTTTCTCCTACAAATTTCCCTAGCTTTTAGTAACTATGATCTGTTAGAACAAATGAATCATCGCCACAAAATGAACTATATTTTTTAAATACAGTGGTTTTGTGGGGGCTGATACCAACTGATTGGCTTAAATCATTAAAAATTTTGGTGCTATTACAAATCCTTATATGCAACAATCCATGATATCTTTGAGGGTCCATTTCTTTCCCAGTATGAATTGACCTCAGCAACTAGGGGACTGACTAGTACTGGACCAACAGCCCTATATGTATGCCAAGGACCAGTGCTCTACCAGCAAAGAGGCACAGTGTTTTCAAGGTCAGGGACTGAAGCCAAAGTACCTGTTCCATCTGCTTGAGGAATGCTTCACTTGTGTAACTTCATGTGTAGGAACTGAGATTGGATCACCTTCATCAACCCTCTAGCCTATGATACAATACTCACTTTTGGTGTTAAAAAGTAAAAACAAATATTCTACAGTACGAATTAGATGAATTTAAATGGTAGGATATTTCTTTCTTTTTTTGGGGGGGGCGGGTAATCCGGTCATGGGGCTTGAACTCTGGGCCTGGGCGCTGTCCCTCAGCTCTTCAGCTCAAGGCTAGCGCTCTACCACTTGAGCCACAGAGCCACTTCTGGCTTTTTTTTTCTGTTTATGTGGTGCTGAGGAATCAAACCCAGGGCCTCAGGCATGCAAGGCAAGCGCTCTACCACTGAGCCACCTTCCAAGCCCAAATGGTAGAATGTTTCTTACACTACTGAATCCTGTTAAAGAAAGGGCAAAGTAATGGATCTCAAAAAACTCCTGCAGATTTATTTGTTCATTATACATGCATCTATACTAATACCCCCTAAATAGAACCTTTTTTTTTTTGTCAGTCATGGGGCTTGAACTCTGGGCCCGGGCACTGTTCCTCAGCACTTCATCTCAAGGCTAGTGCTCTACTACTTGAGCCACAGCACCACTTCAGGTGTTCTTAGTGGTTTTTTGGAGATAAGAATCTCATGGCCTTTCCCATCCAGACTGGCTCAATCCTCAGATCTCAACCTTATGAGTAGCTAGGATTACAGGCATGAGCCACCATTCCCGGCTTAGAACTTTTAAAAATTCTTATTTTACTAGTTTTAGCTTTCACAACTACCTACAAAGACTGGCAGAGTTAAGGTTATCCAAGGACATAAAATGTTGTACATGAGGAAACTAAGGCCTCACATGTAGTAGCTTAATTTTATTGTCCAATTATTATCAGTTTTAGAAAAGGAGTTGAAGGGGGCTGGGAAGGTGGCTCAGTGGTAGAGTGCTTGCCTTGCATGTATGAGGCCCTGGGTTCGATTCCTCAGCACCACATAAGAAAAAAGAAAAAAGCCGGAAGTGGCGCTGTGGCTCAAGTGGTAGAGCGCTATCCTTGAGCTGAAGAGCTGAGGGACAGCGCCCAGGCCCAGAGTTCAGGCCCCATGACCGGACCCCCCCCCCAAAAAAAAGAAAAGGAGTTGAAGACTGGAGTGAGAAAGGCTTAGATGACATACAAGTACCACTTAAGAAATGCAATGTTCAAATCATTAGTGCTGTTTTAATTTTCAATGGGAAAATATATGAAAATTTAAGCTACCCCATTAGAGAAGAGAAGGTATAAATGAAAAAGCAGTACTACCTTTTAGCCACAAACCATTACATGGAGGTAAGTTTGAGTTATCTCACAAGCAGCTATTTAATCTTTCATCCTGAAGGGGAATGAGTGTTGCTTCTAAGCCTGGCCAACCTGCACTCTGATCTGGCTAGGTTATTTTAGACTCACCTAAACCTTCTAATACCCTCTATAAATGGACTTTCCCTTTTACCTTTCTTTGATTTTTTTTTGACTGGGGTGGGGGGGGTTGGGGAGGTGAGGGAGTTAGGGGTGGGGGATTGGGGGTGTTAGTCATGGAACTTGAACTCTGGGCCTGGGTATTGTCCTACAGCTCTTCAGCTCAAGGCTAGCACTCTACTATTTCAGCCACAGCACCACTTCCAGTTTTCTGGTACATAGCTGGAGCTAAGAATCTCATGGACTGGCTTTGAACCACGATCCTCAGATCCCAGCCTCCTGAATAGCTAGGATCACAGGCATGAGCCACTGGCACCTGGATTCTTTCCTTCATTTTATGTTAGGTCATGAATTATTAAAGATATCTTCTTAAATTGCGCAAGACATAAGTAATTCATGGATTTTTAATAGTTTTGTTTACTAACCTGTTTTGGATTATATTTTGTGATTGTAATCTTCTCAAATGGAGTGGTAGAAATCACACACAAGTTTTGGAAGCAAATAGTACCTTAGTGAATCTCTGCCATTATATTATAGTTAGCTAGTTTTCTACCAGCAGCCTCTTTCCTCGTCAGTGGATTTGATGGCATTTTTTTTTCATGAGTACGTAAGGTTAGAGACATCGAGTATGTTAGTAGATTCTGATAGTAACCAAATCCCAGTTGCTTCTGATAGTAACCAAATCCTAGTTGCTGCTCAGTATTTACATGAAGACTTCTGCTAAAAGCTAAGCTTTCAGTTTCGAAGAAGAAAACATGAATATATGTAACATATTTTATCCTGTTTTCTTGGGGTAGCTTTCAGCACTTAAGATATTGGCAACACCACAACTGTCACTATATATTATGCCTTGTCATGTGAAGGGAGAAAAATACTTCCACTTCACTTTCTGGCTACATTCACAAAACATAATTGAAAGTTCACCCTTTCCATTTCTCATGTCGATTGACTGCTGATAGGTCCTTCTTTGCCCTGAAAGATAGAGTCTTAACTGTAAACAATGACAAAAATGAGAAAGTATGGATCTTTCAAGTAGCACCCAATTTTCTTTTTTCAGCTTGTAGTAATAATCATGAAACTTCTAATTAGATGGCTTTGCATTTTCCTAATATGGCTCTCTTCAAGAAATGGTGTTGTAGTTAGTAAATAAATTTGTTTAAGTGGCAAATGTAATAGTCTGTATCATGTAGAAACTGAGTTCTACATACCACCTGAAAGTCTGTATTTCTAGTTGATGATATGAAGACTATGCCAGTTGGCAACTCAGAAAGTTGCTCTGCAGACTACAACTGATAGGCAGTAGAGCTGTGCTAGTATCTGCAGACCCCGCTCTTAAACGATTGAACATCTACATATTTAAGCTTTGATGTTAACATGAGATTTACTTGATATAACCTAAGCTGTAATTTTTTTAATATAAAAAAATCAGAAACCTGATAAATGTTACTTACCAAATGGAATTAAAAGCAAGGTGCTCAGAAAAATATTGTCCTTGCCTCCAGCAAGTTTCTGAAGCTCCTTATCAGGAGTTAACATCCTGATTTTAACGTGTTCTGAAAACAAAGTGTGTGATTCATGAAATAAAGGACACTAAATCCAAAATTTGAAATTATGAAAAGTTTAGGCCAAAGAGGTAAAATGAAAACAGCTGTTGGGAATGGAAAATGGCTGTAGGAATTTAGTCACAAGTACTTCACAAAAACATGAAATCACATTTACATAAGAGCATCACAATACGAAGCGGGCTGCTGCCCTGCCCGAACAAGTTCTCTTATCATCTAACAAAAATAATTTAAATACATTTCTTTGCATGGAGTTGTCATATATGTTTCCATTTTGGGTACAAAACATAGAAAAAAATTGGCACATTATGTAGTGATGTCAGTTTTTTTCTTCCCATGTCTCATTTCTGAAATACGTTTTTCTTTTGGAAAAAGCAACTACTTATTCAATTAAAATCATCTGTATATATACCTCTTAAAGATGCAACATGGAGTACAGAAAAAGTAAAACTAACATACTCGGTTTACTGAGTTTCTAATATCCATAACACCAAGAAGGGCTGGCTGATGAACGGGAAACATTAAGTTTGACTTTATGTAGATCACAGGAAGTTGTGAAAAGAGCTGTATAAAAATATGCACTTGTGCTTTAGAAGCTTTTAGCATACAATTAATAGCTTAAAATATTATTTGCTGCCTCTCCTTACGCCAACTTTCTAATATATTTACACATCTTGCAATAACTTTACATCATTAAAGCAAATGACATGATCTCAAATATAGATAAGTTAAAAATATCTGAACCTTGAAACATCCCCATCCCGTCCCAAATATAGACATATAGGTGGTGCTGGCGCAGCAAACGCCATGGGCCTAGACCCAGAAAATTTAGGTTGTTTTAATAAAAATGTTAACAGCAAATGTATATAAATTTTTTTCCTTAAAAAAGCTTTTCCAAGGGCATTCAGATTAAATGGCTTTTATATAATATTTAGGATAGTGCCTTGTGGCTACCTCTGTGAACCCAAAATAAGGGAAGCTCGTGGATTTCCTCCTAGCAAGAAGCCACTCCTCCTGCATCCCAGATGGCTTTCTCTTGGGTGAACTACTTCTAGAGGAGGGAGGGCTTCCAAGCTGCTGTCACCCTTCCAGAGGGAGCACTCACCAGGCCAAGGCTCATTCTAACTTGACAGTCACACCACCAACCAAGAGAACCACTTAACTAATCACTCCATCAGTAATTTGGTCCTAGTTGTTCTGCTCATTTTAGGTAGCTTTTTTCCCCCTTAGATATATCTGTTCAGATATGCTTCTTAAGAATCCTTCAGACTAATGCTGTTGAGGACAGTGGTCAAGTATACAGTGTTGGTGATTTAATGGAAAAGATAAGTAGAACACTGGCTAAGCTACTTGGACCCCATCCCAGAGGCCAGGCTCACAGGTACCAGGTCTTCCCTATTTGTGTTCTGTTAAATTACAGTGAATCAGCTCCATGATTGTACGAGGGTCCACGGGATGACAGCCCAGCATAGGAGGCTGCCGAATATTCCTTCTGGCACTAAGTGATCATTCAAAAGAACATACATTTTCCTTTATGGAACGTAACTTTTAAAAAATGAAATTTGGAGACTTGCACGACTTAGGGTCAAATATTAAACATTAGCTCCTTAACCTGCACCTGTCATTTTTATATGAAGGAGAGCCTTTTGTTTACACTACTGAGTCACAGTGTCCTTTGAAGAGGTCAGTCTCCTCCTGCTCAGCTTTAGGGGTCAGATGGAAGCCTCAGACTTTTGCACTTGAGATCATCTAATGTCTTCCAGTGTTTGTAGTTATCAGCCAAGTGCTGCATCAGGGCTGGCAGATGTGCAAAGGCTGTAAGGACATAAAAGAATCAAGAGAAACCCATTAAATTAAGCTGGATCCTAAGGGCTTAGGTTCAGGAACAAAATTGAAGAAAAAGATAACCCAGGACTTGGTCTCATGCTGCAAGTAAAAAACAAGCACAAGCAGGGCCAGAGTGTGTGAAATACAAGTAAGGCCCTTGATTAGCTGAAAAGTTGTTTAGTCAGTGACATTATCAAGAGAAGCTGTGTTGGAGCAGATGTGCTGCACTGGACTTTATCTGGAGTTTTCTCTAGCTCTAATGACAGATGTAAATTGCTGTGTACCTTGTAAATGTGGCCTTTGAAGAAGTGAAGACTTGTTTATCCAATTACTACACATTGCATCTGTATTGAAAGTTCTATGCTGGGGATCAGGGCTGTATAACGTACAGTACACATACATCCCCTGTATGGCCACAAAGAACTACCAGCTTAAAAATACTTCATTTTTTACACCCAGTCTGTTATTAAATATCAAATACAACAAATTTCTTTGTGCGTGATGAAGCAGTAACTGACTTACCATCCCAAGCATCGAACATGTCTGTTATGAAGTAGTCGATGAAGGAGATCTGGGACTTGGGGATGCTGCAAGTATTGCGATCGAACACCGGCATGACCACAGGTAGCCCCTGTCGCTTTTCTTCGTCAGTCTGTAAGAAAAAAATACCACCGCCCGGGGCTGTGGGACATGCAAGAAGCTTTCACAGTCACAGCTCCCATGAATGCGGGTCATTGTCCAGTTTTATTTATGAAGGAAGACTTAGCAGGGCCCAGGAACTTAAATAACACACGTTGGATGGGCTGTATTGACTATGTTCTGGTCTTCCAATTCTTAGGTTTCCTTTATTTGTTGGTGCTGGGGATGGAACCCAATGTCTAGCCAACTTTCCAGCCTGGTTTTCTTTCTAGGCTATTCCACAGTCCTTCCTGATGCACTGATCTTTGGGTGCTTACATACATTTCTGTGATTTGTTATATTACTGAATGCTCAAAATCATTTTCACAATGTAATCCAGAAGTACAAGTCTGCTAATTGTCAATGCACCAAGGTTGCAGAAACAATGCTGGTCCTGGTCAGCACCCCAGCATGGATCAAGTACTGGTACGAAGCAATTTGAAGGGAACAGTCACTCTTCTAGGCACGACCACATGCTTGCAGTTATTACAGAGTTTCATTTAAGAATGACCTATCTGAAACAATCAGAATAATCAATGTGTGTGTGTGTGTGTGTGTGTGCACGCGCACGCACGCGTTGCATACATGGGGCTTAACCACAGGACGTTGCACTCCCACTCTGCTTTTTCACTCATGGCTGGCCCTGTGCCATCTGAGCCACATGTATAGGAACTCATGAGATTAACTTCGATTAAATCCTCACCTTAGAGAATATGTCTTTTGACAATCTGTGTGACAAAATGGGAAATACCCAGAAAGCCCTGTGTTGTATGCCAGAATCTGACTGTTGTCTCCGGATTTAGCAGCTGATCAATTGAGTTGTGAACTGAACTTGCTTCTTTTTTACTTGAAAGAGTGACATACATTTGTTTGGATGTGAGTATTAGCCTTGCAGCTCTCAAGGTAGGTAGCAATTGCTAAGTACATGAGCATGTAGGTTCATGTGTACAAGACCAAGCTGACTACTAAGATCCCCTTTTCCTGGTGGTGTGTTGAGCTGAGAAGAGGCTTCATTTGTAACCTTTTGAATTTTAGGTCACCCCTCTCAGGGAAAAGGATGCCTAACTTGGAAGCTTATGAGAACTTAAGACCGGCTCTCCCCCATTCCCCACCACACACTGGGAGTAACTAGATGCAGTACTCAAGTTCTCTCCATGTGGGTCCTGGGAAGCCCACTAATGGCCTCCTACAAGCTTTGGGTTCGGCTTGCTCAGTTGATTGAGTAGCCTTAAAATATCCACTAGTGTTTAAGGTTTTCTTGGTTTTCTCTCCTCTGCTGTGAAACTCAGAACTGCTTGTCCTATTTTTCCTCAATTTAGGGACTCCTCCCTAGCGTTGAAAGTCTCAGTTAACTCTCTTGAGTTCTCTGCTGGCCAGTCCTGCTGGCCTCCACCAGCTATTCTTTATCCTTAGTACTATATTCCAGTCCCAACACCCCTCTCCATCTTATGAATCACTTGATGCTATCTGCTGTCTTCTGATTTACACACACACACACACACACACACACAAAACCAGCCCTTAGAGCCTTTTTTCTGGTAGTAGTGCTATATTTCAGAAGGCATCTGGCATGTCACCTTTCATGCCTCTTTTCACTGCCACTGTTAAAATAAAATGCATATTGCTAAAAATTCTAGTCTCTGTCCTTAGGAATGTTGCTTCAAAATGCCTTTTTTCCCCAGAAACATTGCTAAAACTTTCCATTAACCCCTCCTCTTGTCTAGAAAGACAAATCTGTTAATTCCTGTAGTATTTAACATATACACTTGTTTATACATACCTTTTTTTAAACCAACATGGACCTATCTGTCCACATCTTCCATCCCCACCTGGATTGTGAGTTACTTCTGGGCAGGGATGTGGCTTATTCATGTCTTATTTCCCCATAATGCACCAGGGAAACACTAACTTGTGACCTAATGAATGGGGGTACTTCCTAGTTCCTGTGGAAGTTCAGCTTTCAGCAATTTCAATATGACAATTTACTACTTTTTTTTTTTTGGTCAGTCATGGATCTTGAACTCTAGGCCTGGTCAGTGCCCCTCAGCTCTTCAGCTCAAGGCTAGCGCTCTACCACTTGAGCCACAGCGCCACTTCTGGCTTTTTCTGTTTATGTGGTGCTGAGGAATAGAACCCTGGGCCTCATGCATGCGAGGCAAGCACTCTATCGCTGAGCCACCTTCCCAGATCTGACAATTTACTTCTAAAGGCTCAGTCTTCCCCTAGAAGACCTTGGTCGGTGACCAGCATATCGGCTGGTTCCTTGAGGGAAGCAGGAGTCTGCTCCAGGCAGCGTGAGCCGCTTGCTTGGTGGTGAGAAGCTACCCATCTGGAGCACCCACTCATTTCTATGACCTGGTGCCTTACTAGAAGGAAAGTGAGACCTCCCTAGAGGCAACACACCTGTGCAAAATACTCCTCGGAGATCCTCCCAGCCCATTCAATGCACAGGTCCAAGGGTCGGCATGGGTTAGCCACATCTGCACACTTAATCATCATGCGCTTGATCAAGATTTGGTTTTCAGGGAAGTTCTTCCCAGTAGGATTGCATTCGCAGTCACTGCCCTCAATCTGGAAGACAGATGATCAGATCAGGATTGGTGGTGTGCAGCCCACAGATTTCCTCACCAGGTACATTTAGGTGTGGCCAGCACTCAGGAAGCAAGGCGGTTTCTTTCCCTTGGTGTATATAATATGTTGATACATTAAAAAAAAACAAACCCTCAATACAATATATAGTTTGGAAGGAAAAGGTGTCTGTTGCCACCAATCTACCCCCTTCTACCCTTTTTCCTCAGACAGAACAACTGCAGGCAGTGCTGCAGGTCACCTCTAAGGAAGGCTTTCCTTTGCTTTGTGTGAAAGCAGAACTTTTAGATACATAGAGGCTTTAAAAGTGAGGATATTGCACATACATGTGGCATTTTCTCATTATACTTTTGTGCTCCCACTCACCAGTCACTCTCCGGGGACCTTCTGGCCCACCCCCACCTGCTGTTTCTTAAGGGCATGTGTTTCCTGGACTAGCTAACTGGAGGGGAATGTGAGCCAGGTAAGCTTGGGGACAAGGAAAGAGAACATCTGTTCAATGACATTGGCATGTGGTCATACACTGAGTCATTCCTGTGATGTGCACATACCTCTGTGGTCCGGAGGCCTGTGGGCAGGTCTATAAGTAGGTGATCTATGTGCAATCCGAACTAACTACACCAAGCCTAGAAAACGATTCCCCATTTGCAAAGGCACCATTGATTGGATTTGCATAAAAACAATTAGCTCTCCAAAGCTCTGCCAAGCTGAAGATGGCTTGACATTTAAGCAGTTTTTGAGAGTGGTCTTATTTAACTAGATCACTGATAAGCAACACATATTCTGAAGGTTGTTTGTCTTGGTTGTTGAGCATTGAAAGATAAAAGTTTGCTACAGATATTGTGGCAAACATAGTATCAACAGAGTTGAATAAAATAGCTTGAATAGAATATCTCAATTCCAAATTGTTTCATTGTGTATAGGTTTCCCACTCTCTAAATCCCAGATAGCTGCTACCTCTAGTCCCTTGTTGGAGAATAGGGCCTTGAGTTGTATGGTGGTATCTGTAGATGGTATGAGAGATGAGGCTCAGCAGAGGTGAAGTAGACACTGTTTCTTCACCTAGATAGGTCATTAACCATAAAGATAGGAACTTCAGAACTGGCATGGTGGCTCAAAGTAATAGAGTACTAGCCTTGAGCACAAAGCTCAGGGATAATGCCTAGGCTCTGAGTTCAAGCCCCATGAGCAACAACAACCACCACCTCAAAAAAAAACCTCCAAGAGAGATGAGCTCCAGAATTAAAAAGGCGTTTGATTTCCTAAATCATTTTGTGCTCTTTCCATTGGATTTCCTGGGCCCAACTCCTCCCGTCACTCTTCACTTTATCTCAGGGCCTTTTCTTCAAGGAGCTCAAGTTTCTGTGGCCTCTGCCAATCTATTCTCCTACCAAAAACAAGTCACCAGGACTTGCAGCCCTTTGCCAGCTTCCTTGCACTAAGAGGGGAATTTGCTTCCAGTGTGGATGCTCATGGAAATACACTTGATGTATCTTATTACATGGGGTGCTTACCTCAGCTGCCATTGGCTTGTTGATGCTGTTCACAAACTTGTTCACATGTTCAAAGTGTTTTGTCATCTCCGTTGCCAAAACCATGTCAATAATAGCCTGGCGCAGTGTTCGATAATGGTTCCTAAAATAACCAGAACACAAAGGACTTTGTTCACATCATGTCCAGAATTAGAACTGTTTTACTGCCATTTCGTCATGCTTCTTACTCAACCCAGGATGAGCTGGGGCAGAGTTAAATGAGTGCAAAGTCCACCTGCTTATTCTCTCAATAAAGCAGTATTGGAGATGCGATTCCATCATCCTAGTGACATCTGACACTGAATTAGGAGTGCTAAAGTATTTGTCACATGGTGAACACTCACTTTACAAGGCAATTCCCTTGCCCTGATCCTTAGGAACCTGGAGATGGAGAAGGACACAAGATGAAGGACAGGCTGGGATGGCAGCCTGACGAACCATCTAGTACATTCCATATAGTCAGAGTCCTGCTGCTGAGAACTCACGATGTCTCACAGCTGCAGAGGAAGTTTTTCTTGTTTGTAATTTTCTAGCTTGCGACTGTTAGACCTTGAGGTGGATGGAACAACCACCCACAATTCCTGGCCAATTCCTGCCATTTTCTAACTTCAAGAGCAAGAATGAAATGTTGAGTAAAATTGGCTATTGGGAAGAATTATTTCGGCACAAGTTTAAAACCAATCCTTGATGAAGCTTAAGCTGAATCTGCCATATCAGGTCTGCATGTTTTTCTAGATGTCTAGACACCAAACAATAGGTTCAAACAATCTGTCCTGGGTCCCTTCCAGGCCTCTGCCTAGCAGCTGGCTGGTGCTGTTAACAAGATACCTGCAGTCTGATCACAGAGTTGCTGGCAGTAACTCCATGTCTGGTCATACCCGGCCAGGTCTCAGCAGAAGAGAGGGCCCAGTGAGAGTGAACCCTGCCTTGCCTTTGGCTCTATCACCGTTGCTGGAACCTCCTCATGATGAAATGTGTTAAGTAACTGAAACTGGGCTGGAAAGACAGGAGTGGAGGTTTCCTTTGAGCCACCCAAAGGACAGACTCATCTCCTGGGAGGGTAAAAATATCTGCTAGGTTTCTTAATCATACAGTCAATATTTATGCAGTGTTTTGCAGTATTTAAAACATTTTCATGAACTTATCAAAGATGAAATGAGATTTAAAACCACGAAGGCAGTCTGAACAATAAAATTAAGTTTGCTAGGGCAAGGTCATTATTTTATCATCTAATGCAGTGGTACAACTACCCTGACACTTGGATTTCCCCCGGAGTATTCAGAGAAGCCAGGAGAAATGGAATTTCCCTATGAGCACAGGAGCCAAGCCCAACAAACCTGTCAATATTCTTGAAAATGTTGCACTTGGTGTCCTTGACTGTGAGCTGGAAGGCCAAGGCTGTGTGGTGACTCTCCAAGACTGCAGTGTCATTGTAGAGCACAGCAAGCTCACTGCCGGCATTGCACAGGAAGGAGTTGGTCCTTCCTGGGTGATCTACGTCATGGACTGTGGCAGCAATCAGGGCTGCTACCTCATCCAGCTGGTCGAGGCTTCCCTGGGATAAAGGAGGCAAGTTTAGGCAGTATGTCCAGTATGTCTCTGAAGGAGAAATGTGGGAGGGTAGGGGAGAACGATGCAATTTTCAGAGGTGAACAGTGTCCTTGGACAAACAGTATCTATCACCTTTCTGTGCTGTGTATTTTCTGAGGAGAAATGGAATTATAGCGGTTGCCTAGTCCTCTCCAGAGTTCATTCACCCAGTAGGATGATTAGAACTCAGCTGTAAAAAAGAATTATTTTACCTAGAAACAAGATAAGGGGGCTGAGCTAGCAGCCTGCAAAGGCAGAAAGGAAAACTGTAAAGCTTTCATTATGCAAATAAAGAACTCAAAGGAGAACATCTGGAGATACATGTTTTCTTAGCCTACAGCTTTAGGAGAAAAAGAGCTTCTGTCACATAGTGTACTATGAATTTGTTTATTAGATGCTATGGGTACCAGTTATTCACAGGGTTTGAGCTACAGGAATGATTCATGCTGACAGATTCTGTATTAATGGAGCTTATAATCTGGAGGGAGAAACAAAAAATTTTTAAATGTACAGATAGAAGTGATATAGTGAGCTGGCTGAGCAGTAATGTACATGTTCTTTGAGAGTAGAAGCACTGGACTGGTCTAGTTTGGGGTCTTACCATCAATAATTATGGTGATAGAAGTATTTCATGGTTGTGTTACCTACAACAGTTAATTCAGATTCACCTGTAGCTACTGGACTCAAGAATGTGACCAGTACAATGGAGGAACTAGATGTTTTTTGTTTGTTTATGTGTGTGTGTTTGTGTGTGTGTGTGTGTGTGTGTGTGTGTGAGTTCTGGGGCTTAAACTCTGGGCATGGGCGCTATTCCTGAGCTTTCTTTTGTTCAAGGTTAGCACTCTACCACTGGACCCACAGCTCCCCTTCCAACTTTTTCATGGTTAATTGGAGATAAGAGTGTCACAGATTTTCCTGCCCAGGCTGGCTTCAAACTGCAATCCTCATTTCTCAGCTTCCTGAGTAGCTAGGATTACAGGTGTGAACCATCAGCACCCAGCTAATTTTATTTCGTTTTAATGTTTTTTTTGTGTTTTTTTTTATTGGTCATGGGGCTTGAACTCTGGGCCTAGGTGCTATCCCTGAGCTCTTCAGCTCAAGGTGAGTACTCTACCACTTGAGCCACAGTGCCACTTCCGGTTTTCTAAGTGGCTTATTGGAGATAAGAGTCTCACGGAGTTTCCTGCCCCGGCTGGCTTTGAACCCCTATCCTCAGATCTCAGCCTCCTGAGTAGCTAGGATTATAGGCATGATCCGCTGACGCCTGGCTCATTTTACTGTTTTAATGTGTGGCTAATGACTGCTAAAGTGGAAACGACTGCTAGAGTGTGGACAAGGGTAATTTCTCTAAGTGATTTTTATGCTGAAATATAAAGGATAAGCTGACAGTAGTCAGGTACCAGGTGGCAAGGAAGAGAAGCCCAGGCAGAAAGAAAAGCCCAGGTGAAGCTCCTGAGAGAAGATAAGCACAAGAGCTTTATCCAGGAATCCTAGGGAGTAATGTGTGGCTTCAGAGCAATGACCAAGGGGGAAGTGAATGAGACTAGAGGGTGGGGCAGGGCTTACGGTGTTCCCATACTTCCTCTTCTGCACAGGCTTGAAGGAAAAACTGCTTTGGGGTGAGAAAGGCTGACCCTGAAGCTCAGACCTGTCCTCACACACTGGCCCCGCTCTGGGCTGCAGCTGCTTGTGTTGGATTAGGGTTACAGTAGGTTTTTGCCTGGAAACTCTATGGCCCCTCAGATGGAGCCTTTTCTATTTTGAACCTTCACCTTGTAGAACTGCTGAACAATCCTGGCTTGGCCTCTGTCAACAAGACTAAGCTTCATGAGAAACAGCAAAATATTATTCTTTTCAGCTCTTGTCAAGATGGAGAACCATAGTGAGTGGCCAGGGCAAAAGAGCATGATTAGCCCTCTTCACTGCTGTTGGAGAGGCCAGGTAACTGCGGCACACCGCTGCCTGGAGCGCAGGGCCCAGAGCTATGGCGAGTTGGGCCCCACCTTCGGTTATCCCGCAGTGGGTGAGGACCCGGAAGCCCGTGGCCTAGGCTTCCAGCTCACGCTCTGAAATAGGTCTGGCTCTCCTACAAGTCTCAAGCCAAATTATTTTTGAACTACTCAAACTATTAAACTATTCAATGGAAGATTCAAGAGAATGGGTAGAGCGTACAAATGGTACTAAATGAGACCTGATTCAACCCAACATCTCAGTGACAATGGCACTTTTCCAAAGGTACCAATAATGGGCCAATTCCTGCAATTCAGTGAGCACTAGTCCGGCTCTGGCTGGTAGGAAGTGGCTGGGAGATGGGGAAAGAAGACTTAGTAAGCCCAGAGCATGGAGAAAAGAAATGCAAAGCCCTTTATGCATGTATGTGTGTGTGTGTGTGTGTATGTGTGTGTGTGTGTGTGTGTGTGTGTGTGTGTGCATAGTGCGAGATGGTCTGTGGAAGAAACCCCCACAAACCTTCAGCTTGGACATCTCTGCATTTTTTTCTTTTTAATTACTTTAACCTGCAGTAAGTTTGGGTCATGCTGAGGAAGACTGGCTGTGGGGTGGGTCAGCCTTTCACTTTCTTATTTCACTCAGGCCTAAATCACTAAAAAGCAGTTCTGGCTGTCCTGGTCTTGCTGCTCACTGTGAATACCATGCATCTGCTAAGACTGGCGGGAAGAGCATGAGGTCTATAGAACCTGAAGGGCCTGTCTGCTCTGGCCCACTGTCTCTATGTTGGGTTGAGGCTGTTTTGTATTCGTGGCGCTTGGGAGCAGCTTAGTGGTACAGCATGTGCTTATGATGTGTGAGGTCCTCAGGTCCCTTCCTACATGCACATATGTGCGAGCACATGCAAACCTTATCCTGGAGGATTTAGAGGGGCAGGTGATGCACAGAAGAGATTGGAATACAATCTCTTGGCCCTATTAGTCTGCGGTGGCAGGTCTGTGGGAAGAAGACTCAGAAGTACCTCTGAGTAGACTAATCTGAATTTGGGCTGGTGAACCTCTGACCCTCTCAACTCAGGAGTTCCTAACAGCCCCAGCTGTATACTTTCAGAATCTCTAACAGGTGCCAGAATACAAAAGCAAACATTCTATCTAGTCTTACTTAGACACCTTTCGAGGGCTGTTGTTTGAGAAATTCAGTTAGACCCCAAATGCTTGAGCTGAACTCAAGTTCAGGGACATGCTTATTTTAGAGAAGGGATAGGCAGAGAGAAAATGGCATGACTAAGCGGTCCCTAATTTATTGCACATTTCATGTGAGTTTTCCTAGAGAGGCTGTAATTCAGGGAGGGTGGCGGAGGGGCAGGCATCCCTCTGGTCTTGGCGCCAATCACCTGGTGGTGTTCTCAGCTGGTGGTGAGACCTCCTCTGGGTAATTTCACCCAGTGGAATAGACAAGCAGAGCTCTTGGCAGGGATGCAGAGGCGCTGTATCTCAGAGAGGTGTCACAGACCCAGGCTAAAGCTGTTAATTTCTTCAAATTAGAAAACAAAAAATAAGACCTCAGAGCACCTTCAAAAGCATCACGCCTGCACCCAATGCTTTGCTTTCTTGCTGAAATAACTGGATGACCCTGGCAATAATGAGAAGGAATTCTTCCACCTCACTTTTGGGATCATTTCTACTCCTTTGACCTGTTCCAATGTCTCCTCATCTTAAGATCCCAAGATCTTATCCCTCATCAGACTTCTGCCAAGAAAATGAAACCTTGTGTTCATAGGTTAATAGAAATTTCAGTATCCAGACAGTACCAAGAATATCTACATTTTATCTTTGTGGTGCTAGGGATCAAACCCAGGGCCTTGCATGAGCTAGACAGGCATCCTACCACTAAGTCACATTGCAGCCCTAAAATTTAAGCTTCAGTTGTAATTTTAGCAAAGGAATTACAGCTTAACTATAACTGAGGAAGGGCCATGGGACCTTGTGCCAGCTCAATAATACAAGAGTATGTGGCTACCCTTCAAATCAGCCCTGCTATGCATGATGACAACATGGCACTAAGATAAGACTAAAAGCTATGGGACACTTTCCCACTTAGGCAAAAGTTAGACACACGCACACACACCTCACACCTACACACACAAATGCACATAAGTCAGTAGCGGCTGGCTGGCTTACTATGATCAGGATTGCACTCTACCGAAGGCCATATTTACACGCAAGACCTAGTCTCTTTGTGCTATAACAATTCTGCCCTGCAGCCCAGTTTCACCAAGCTCCTGAACTATCGCATCATGGGCTCATATACAGGAGTCTCTGGAGTTGCATAAATTAGTATGTATGCATTTGAGGAGGGGGATTAAAAGAAAGGTCTAGGTCTTTATAATACCAAAGTAACCAATTTGGTTAAAGAAACAACAAAGAAACAAAAATGCTTGTGAAAGTTGGTTGTGAAAGTAGCTCTCCACCAAATGCATTTATTACATTATCTCTTGGATCTTCAAGCCAGATGGCTGTTAGATCATGATCCGGGAACTCTACCTTCACTCTTTCCTTCCCAAGGAAGAAGGCGGTGGCGTGCAGGACGTCTGCGGCATGCGTGGAGTTATGGTAGGCATTGGAGGAATGGTAGTTGGCTTCAATCACTTGTAGCCAGGCCCGAAGAGTAGTTTCAGTACAGTTTAGAAATTCGCATACTCCAAACCGGGAGAAGACCTTTAAACCCAGGTAAACTAATGGCCTGCAAAATAGGAAAATGAATCCTGGTTTACTGAATTTACTTCCCAGAGAACTTCTCTGGGCAAAAGTGAAGTCACACCATTTAGAGTCATGTTTCATATTTACAGGTGTCATTCATACCCACAGGCTAACTCCTCAGCAGAAATGGCTTCGAATATACAAGAGATCCTTCAACTTGTCTCATGGGTCCCCAGCTGACAGGACAAATTCAAGGAAATATTGCTGCTACTTTCAAAGCTTCCTCCACCTCCTTCTTTCTTTTTGGAGATGAGGTCTCACTATGTTGCCCATGATGGCTCTAAACTGCTTGGCTTACACAATCATCCTGCCTCAGTTTCCCAAGTAGCTGGAACTATGGATATGTACCACCTATCCCTGCTTTGAATTTATTTTGTAGGTAAAGCTTCAACAAATTTTGAGATAAGAAAACTTGAAACTCTTTGCTTACTAGCACAAAGGAGTATCCAAACTAGGATATGACAGGCCATGCAAAGTGATCCCATATCAGCCAGGACAACGCCCTCTCCATAAGGAGCTAGCTTGGGACACAAAACTCCCTCCAAGTGGGCTGGGAATGTGGCTTAGCGGTCGAGTGCTTGCCTAGTATGCATGAAGCCCTAGGTTGGATTCCTGAGTACCACATAAGCAGAAAAAGCTGAAAGTGGCACTGTGGCTCAAGTGGTAGAGTACTAGCTTTGAGCACAGAGAGGCTCAGGGACAGTACCCAGGCCCTGAGTTCAAGGCCCAGGACTGGCAAAAGAAAAAACAACAACAATAATAACAACAACAACAAACTCCCTCCAAGTTTCCTACTGTGAAGGCCTCAGGTCTGACTGTGATCAGAGATGTCTCATACCTTTTATGTGTAACTGCTTCCAGTTCAAAGATGTTGAAATCCCAGCTTTCCTCATTATCAAGTAACTGGGCAATAGAAGGTGGAACGTCATTGATGGTTACTGGCATCGCAAGGTGACTGTGACTCTGATGCACATCTGAGCAAATAGAAAAGGTGGGAGAGGGTGAGGGAGGCCGGTGAGTTCTGAAACTGAATGTCCCTAAGCATTGTTACTAGAAAAAAATGTTTGCACCTGTGTGCCGTACTGTGGGCTGAACTCGGGGCCTAGGGCTCCACCACTTGAGTCATAGCCCAGTCCTTGTGCTTTTAGTTTTCAGATAGGGTCTCTAGCTTTTGCCTGGGCTAGACTGTGACTGAAATGCTGTCTCTGCATCCAGAGTAGCTGGGATTACAGACATGGCCTCCCCACTTCTGCCCCACTAGGAAGTCTTGAACTTCCACAGGTAGAAGGATGGTCGCGCTGAGGTTCTACTCTTATAAAACCTTAAGACCATATTCTTTCCCTTTCTTTTTGCAACACTCAAGTTTGAACTCCAGGCCTCATACTTGCTAATCAAGTGATCTACCACGCTGCTTTATTTTTCACATAATGTGTTTGAGGGCTGGCCTCAAACCTTGATCCTCCTACATACGCTTCCCAAGTAGCTGGGATTACTGCTGTGTACCAACCATCACACTCAATCCTACAGAGTTATACTAATTGTGCTCAGAGAAGCAATTTTAATCAGGAGCTGCAGTTTCAAATGTCAATCACAGAGATGCTAAACTCAATGAAAGCACCAAAGCCTTTCCCGAGCCACAGTCATAATCTGGGTGTGGCCCAGACTGGAGACAATCAGAAACAGGTGACAGATGAAAACTTACTCTTTGTAAACACATACTCATTTCCTGACAACCTTCTCAAGCCATCCTGGAACAAAGACAGATATTGTTAGAAGCATACTTTACATATAGTCATTCCTTCTCTTGTTTCTTTCATTAGCCAGAGTTCAAATCCCAAACAACCCCTTCAACCTACAACTCCAAGTTAACTCAGAGCAATAGCTATGAGACAGATGATACTCTCCCGTAATGGCTGCTAGTTGCAGGAGGAGGGGAACCTGGTCCACAGTGGATATGGCCACGTGCAGGCTCATACCTGAGCGGCAAGTCGGCTCTATTCTCCCGGCAACAGTCTCTTCTAGCATTTTAAAGCCACCAAAGTGAAATTGCAGAAGCAATCTTGCTTTGGATGTACAAAATTCGGATGCAATCCCTCAAAGGGGTTCCCTCAGGTTGACCTTGGGAAGCATCAAAGCCACATGCCACGTATGGGGATAACTTGGTAAAATTGTCTTTTAAAAACTGGGCTAACTGTAAGCTAATATCTACACCGAATTCTTTTCAACCACATTTTCTGTTTTATACATGAGCATTGCTACTAGCTTTCTAAAGGAAAAAAAAATTCTGGATGTGAAGTCTGAGGAGGCAGAGTAAGGGTAGATAGAATTCCAGTATTCTGCTAATTTCAGGCTCTTACACGTGAACTCAGCCCCAGACGCTTTTGAACCTGTTTCCTTGCCTCCATCTTCTATCCTTGAGTGTTCCATTATTCAAATCTTTGCTTAAAAGATATTTAAAAATGCATGATGTCCTCGGAAAATGTGGGCTAAGGTTTAAAGAAGTATTAATAAAGCCCGGGAAAGAAGTCATGTTTTGGATCTTTAAGCCAAGAGCTAATCTTACAAAAAAAAAAAAAAAGGGTAAGTAACCACAGCCAATTCTCCTGCTTCTAAGGTAGAAATAGCAATCCCCTGTTTTTATTTTGCCCTTCTCCCTCCACTTCCTATTGTCACATAAAAATGAAGTGGAGCCTCACACCGGGCCCTCACAGCATTATTTGGACAGGAATCCAATGGCATGGTGGCATGGTGGGCAGGGCAGCGGAGCTTTCCTTGGAGCCAGTGTTCCTGAGCCACAGCACTATAAAGCCCCCCTTGTGCTAGCTTTTCGCCAGTGGTCTCAAGAGCTGAACCTATGCTGCATTGGGAATACGGCAACCGAGGAACAGAAAGGATCAGAAGCGACTGGAAAACCAGTTAACACTCAGCTTTAGGAAACAGAACTAGACAGAAACCTTCCAAGTAGAACTAACTCTTGGGTGACTCTGGACTTTATTTTTCTTCTTAAAAAATCGTTTTAACCTTTGATAAGAAACCCAAATGAATAATTTGACTTTTATGAGTCATTTCACTTTTCTTCTTTGTCATCACTTGGCTTGTGGATGATGCTTAAAACCAAATAGAGTACAGCAAAAAACTAGAAAAGGGCGAGTTCTCAGACATCAGCTCTCCATACATGTGGTGGGTCTCACAGTTGGCAAGGGGTGGCCCTCATCCACTTTCCCCCTCTGAGCCAGAATGGCTCCAGTTTTAGGTAGAACTCTGACTTAAACTTTTATATGTAGGAAGGATTGGACAGTGCTGCCGACTAAGAACATTGCTTGGCATCCTGTATAATCCAGGCTCAACCTTGGATACTAAGATGCTCAAGTCACTTGTATATAAATGTCATGGAATGTGCATATAACCAATGCAAATCCTTCCGCATATTTTAGATCATCCTTGCATTTTATGTCTAATACAATGCAAAGAAAACCCCGCTATGTTAATAGCTGCATTGTTCAGGAACTAATGACAAAAATTCTGTAATATTCAGTATTGGTGCAGAGATTTCTTTTTCTTCTTTGTTTTGTATTTTTGATCTGATTGGTGAATCCACAGACGCAGAACCTATAGATTCAGAGGGCCACCTGTGTAGAGCCTGGGGGCTACAGACAGCTGTCATCCTCAATCTACGAGTTCAACAAGGTCGAGGGGAAGAAGTAGCAAAGGAGGCCCTGTACAACCCCACCTTGCATACACAGCCCCAATCACTTGCAGTAGGTCGGTCTCCCACTGTGGGGTCAGTCAGTTTCACAGAAAGATAAATGCAAGAGTCACTCGAGTACCATCACACATACATTACAGAAATTGATGGAGCTGCCTCTGGCTATACTGATGTTTATCTATTCGACAGGCATTTCTAAATCACAACGTTTGCCTTCGAGAGGGACTCCACTGGACATTTCTGGGTTTATCTCATCACTCACCGTCATCAGGCCTCCCACGAGGTCACTGGTGTGTGGATCTTCATCTTTGGTACCCAGCTGCGGGGAGTACAGTTCTGTGGTCCGTAAAATTTCTAGAACCCTGTCTAAGGCTTCTGCCACTGTGACTGGGCTGTTTTCTTGGGCTGCATTGATTATATTTATAACCTTTGGAAGTAAAAAAAAGAGTAAAATTGAAAGACTGGGATGCCAATCTGCTGAAGTCATGGATATGCTGGGAGCCCAAAAGAAAGTGAGTGATCACACACTTCGTTGCTCAAAGGGCACTGCCACGGTCTCCCAGCGGCACTCGGCAGCCTGTGCTGTCCCGTGTCCTCCTGCCCATGTCTCCCAGGCTCCTTTGGTGACCTTCTTTCTCCTCCAGCTCCTTTCCACAGGTTGGAATTTCTCAGAGATAGTTCTGAGTCTGTCTCTTATTCTATGCTCCTTCCAGAAATAACATTTTTGTTTCCCTGACTCTGGATGCATATAATCCATTCCAGACTCCCAAACTCACCTTCAGGCTAACCTGACCTACTGACCAGAGAGTCCAAAGCTAAACATACAGTCTGGTTCTCCTTCCTACAAAGCAGGATACTGAACAGCAACTGCAGCAACAATAACAGAACCAAAGATGAAAGCTTTTCTAGAACTTTCTATCCACCACCTGCCTGCCTGACACACTGCTTTCCCTCACTCCTCTCCCACTCTCTCAAAGAGCCCAGCTGAGTCTCTCCCTAAATATCTCCAGGTCCATCCATCTCTCTTGCACTGCCACTGCATTAATGCAAGCTCAGTCACCACCACTTTTGTGCAGGGGCCTGGAATTACAGAAAAGTTTTGATTGGCTTGTTTTCTTGGACTCACACCATGTGCACAACAGCTGGGCATTTATTTTTCTGTGACACAGTTGTCAGATCATGTCACCCCTAACTTTAAAATCTTCAATGGTTTCTGCTGCATGTAAACTAAGACACCAATCCCTTACTATTACCCAACTGATCACTATGACATGAGCCCTACCATATCTCCCTTCTGCCGGCCACACTCCAGCCTCTCTGGCTTCCTTCCAGGTCACATGGAAAGCATCTTGGTGCTGTTCCTGCTCCCCCACAGTCCTCTTCTGACCAGCATGCTTCTTGGGCTTCAAGTTTTCATGCAAACATTATTTCCTCTACAGCGTTACCTTCCCTGACCAGTCTCTCATACAAACTATATCTAGCCCCTACTCTCATTGGTCTCGTGGAGCCGTGGGTTTTCCTTTATAACATTTCCTCTACTTAGTGATTCTACATTTACGTATTTTCTGTTAATTGATTTAGTGTCTGTTTCTCCCACTAGACTGAAATCCATGAGACCAGCAGAATGCAGCTCCAGAACCCAGCCCGGGAGGGCCGAGGGTCCTCACTGCAGGATGGAGATGGCAGCTGTCGCTCACCTTCGTGATGGGGGCTTCGATGGTCATGGAGTGGATCCTTGCCATCGAGGGATAGCGGCGGTTCTGTAGGCTTGGTGCTGAAGGTGAGAGAGTCATGCTTAGTTCTGGTGGCTCAGCTTTGGCTAAGTGCAGCTTAGTCCTTTCACAGCTGGGGACCTGATTCTCCCAAGACTTCCCTCGCCTCCCAAAGCATTATCTCTTGTTCTTACAAAGCTGCCTAGCCATCCCTAGGACTTTCTGGGCCACAGGCCACCAAAAAGCCCCTTTAGGCAATTCCTTGGCCTTTATTACTAACCTGCTGGCCATTGGCCAGCTACCTGAGCAGAGTGGGAGGAGTTTCATGCCTTCTTCCTGAGCCTGTAGGTCTGTAATACTCAGAACTTATGGTGCTAGCTCCACTCTGTAGAAACATGCATTTTTAAAGGATTTTACTTCTTGGAATGCTAATGCTTACAGATGATTAAAGATTCAAATAGAGCCAGGTGTCCATGGATCACTCCTGTAATCCTAGCTACTCAAGAAGCTGAGATCTGAGGATCATGGTTTGAAGCCAGCCCAGGCAGAAAAGTCTCCACGAGACGCTTATCTCCAATTAACCACTCAAAAACTTGCAGTGGCACTGTGGCACAAAGTGGCAGAGCATTAGCCTGGAGCAAGAGTTCAGGGACAGTGCCCAGGACCTGAATTCAAGCCCCATGACCGACAAAAAGAAAAAAGAAAAGAAAAGAAAAAAAGAAAGAAGGAAGGAAGGAAGGAAAGAAAGAGAAAAGAAAGAAAAGAAAAAGATTCAAATCGTAGATGTGTTCCTTTAAGAGCGGTGCATTCATCGATCTCTTCCCCCCCAGTGGGGAGGCAGGAGGGTTAGTCCCCGGGTTTCAGCCATCCCAGGTAGAGCCCCTGTGGCAGCCATTGCTGTCCTCTCCTGTGCTCCCACCTCTGCGGCCTGCCCATCAAAATCTCCTCCCACTACCTCCACCATTCAGGTTTCCTCATTCCCATTCTGCTTAACTGTATCCTCAATGTGCCTCATGATATTACCATCTGTTTTCCTTCATACTTATAGTCTCACTTGCTCGCACCCCATGTCTGTCAGACTGCCTTGCTCTGGGAATTGTTGACATTGTGTCAGTCATCTTCGGTCCTTGCCATTTCAACCAGTTCTTTCATATTTCCCATTGCCACCTAAAGGCTGGGGAAGTCCTTCACTTGACCTTCCCATTATGCCTTTAAGTTATCACCCTACCTCTGTACTTAGCACACAGGCACTAGCTCCTCTCCTCCTCCAACGCTTAGAACCTGTCTTTCTAGTGAAAACCAAAGGAAAACCAAAGCGGGCTGGGATGTGTCTCAGTTGCAAAGTGTTTGTCTAGTAATGTGCAATACCCTGGGTTCCACCCCAAGCCCCACAAAGAAAACAAAAACCCAAATGGAAAGTGAAACCTACTGATTGACCTCAGCTCTCAAGCTTTGATCTCTAGCATTAACACTCTAGCTGTCACTTTTCCCCAATACCCTCTCATTCTGGGTTCACGCAATACTACTTGGATGGCTCACCTGAGATCTTTCCTCCTCAATGTCTTATTTTCTCTGACTCCCTCCTGACCTACAGGTTTGGCTAGGACCACACATGCATTGCTAAGTTCTGCCATGAAGGGAAGAAATGTTTTGCTATATTCTGACTCAACAGTGACATTTCATTAACAGAACGTAAGTGCATGTAGCAGAAAGGCTGGAAACAGGTGTGTATTGGAGTCGGGAAGCCAAAACACTGCTCCCCCAATGAATCCATCACCCCTAGGGTTTGCTAATCACACCCCAAAATGACCTTGGTCTGCTACTGAAACTGCAGGGCCTGTGTGGTTATGTGGCCCACATACTTTAGGTGTTAAAGGCACATGGAATCCTTTTAAGAAGAGAAAGGCTGTAGCAAGCATTGAAGAATGCTTTTCAAAATGCCTAAAACATGTCTAGTTACTGGAAAAAAATCCAATTTAACTGAAATCTTCCACTTTGGAGTTTATATGTGATGAAGGTACTGGACATATTCCTCTTCTCAAGTATACTTCTCTGTCACTTTCTACATCTTAAAAGGTCAAGGACCACAAAAAGCTTCTTACCATCACTGCTTCGAGATGATATGGACTTGACGTCAATGGACTCTTTCCTTCGGCTCTTGTATCTGAATGAATGAGGCTCTGTGGATTGCACATTAGAAATGGAAGGGGATTAGGCATCTGTGTAGTCACCCATGACTTGTTTTCCAAAGGAAACATGTTTACTTTTTAAATACCAGAAAAACCATTTTGAGAAATAAACTACTTTCTCTTCAAGTCATCGAAGTATATGAATAGTTAGTCATGTGAATCGTAAATTGTTTTTCTGTCTGCTGCTTCATTATATCATATAAATGGAGATTAGCAAGGATTATTTTATTCCAGAAGTGGAATATCGTTTTGAAGATAAGCTGAAACTTAGGGGAACTTTTTATAGGGATCACCTTGACTTAAAGGAGCCTATTCAACTGGAAGGGAAATACTCCTCTGGAGATATTTAAGGAAATAAAATCCTTGTGAAATGCATAGACATTTTATATTATTTGGGAAATAAATTCAGACTAGTTTGGGGGCACTTTTGGAAAGTCAGACTGTCTAGACAGTCTTTCAGGGTGACTAAGGATAAACTTCATCAAATGATGTGTAAGAGCAGCTGATCATAGGAAGAGCAGAGAACTAGTTTTATATTTCTAACAGCTAACCTCTTATCTGTGTCTTTATTTTCTGGGGAGGAAAAAAAATCATTGAAAAATTTCTGTATAACTCTTTGCCGACTTTGAACTTCACATTGAAAATGTTCTGTCTCAGAGATATAAAAATCACATGTCACAGTGAACACTATGCATAACGTGAACACTATGCATAACGTGAAGGCAGCCATGTCACCCTGGACAACACACATTTTCAGGGTATTTGCTTCTTGTGAGAGAAACTCCCGAGCAAGGAGGGAGTTGTAACCATGAAACAGTCACTGCTGCGCTAAGAGGACAGACAATTGAGCGCCAGGAAGAATGTATTTCTCAGACACCATCATATGATCACATTCTAAGCCGGGGGGAAAAAGTGGGTAACAACAGTTTCTTAAGAACAAATAACTTACAGGCTAATAAAATGAATACTAGGGAACTGGTACTTGAGGTGTGTATGTGGGTAGGGGAGTAGATACGTAGAGCGGAATGGTGGGAGAAGGCATCATATTATTCCAATAGGAAGATATATGAAAATGAAACTAGGAAAATGGAAGGGATGGATGGGGCTGGGAGAGATGGGGGAGAACGATGAAAGGGGCGAGTGATCATGATGCACTGTACTCATCAACATGTTGAATTGAAACCTCTTTGTCCAATTACTTACAGATAATAAAATTATAATAATCTAATAAAAAGAATTGCCTAATGGCACTATAGATGGTACAAGAACCAGCTCCAGAGCTGATTGCCAAAATCCAAATATCCTCTAGTGATCTGATAATTCCAGGTCTTTCTACAGGTAAAAGTCAGCTAGTGCTTCTTGACGCAAGGTCAGGCAGTGTCACCACAGGTCTGAGATGATGAGGGGAAGCTGGGGAGGGGACTTTCTTCACCTGCTTCCTTGCCGCACTTCCCAGTTCTGAAGTCAGCCACCTACTACCAAAAGGCAATGAAGGACAAAACGTTATGGTGAACCACCACCATATTCTCCTGTGTTCTATCTTACTAGTGTCTACCTAGAATGCTAGTTCTCACTGTGTTGGTTTATTTTCTCTATGAAAATAAAAGAAAACCACAGTGGGGAGGCGTGGAGTAGAGGTTACTGTCAATGAAGAATCGAGTACTTTTTAACTGCTTCCTGCCTCTCTTTACCTTTCTAGGCTCTCAACATTAGCACTTAGCTGTCCCCAATCTTGGGTGGCAAGTGTCAGCCTCATCACCTATAGAGCAACTGGTAGACTTGAACTCACAAAGTCTTCTACACAGAGACCAAACATGAAAGATTCTCACCTGTCTGGGAGTTGTCTCCGGAATCACGATGAATCCTGTGGATCTAATGTTGTTCCGAAGTTTGATAAAACAAGAGAAAAAAATTTTAAGGATGGATTTGCTGTCTTCCTCAAACAATTGAGCTAAAAATATCTGAAGACTTGCAGAAAGCAAGAGGCTGCACAGACAGTGTGGGCAATGAGACACACACCAAGTGTGGCACACAGACAGCTTTCCAGTTTTGAAGTCTGAGCAGGAAAGGCCCTGAGGGCCTGGGCAGAGGGTCACCCTTCCAAGCTGCTTATCAGCTAGCTTCTTGTCACCAGTCTGTGACAACAAAGGAAGACAAAGCCTAAAACTCAGCTTACTTTTTTCTGAAAATAAGGTTTCTATATAACCTGTTGGATTCAGACATGTTCCATAGCTTTTCCTGTAATGTAAAAGTAACTTGAATTAAAGTTTAATCTCCCTAGTGCTAAAGTCTCCAAATGCTGCTCCATTACAGTCAGTCAATTCTGAAATGTTTCTTCTCATTGCCATTTTGCACCTACTTCTTTCTCATTATCAGATTTGTTTTGTGCTAATGGCTTTGCAAATGCTCAATAGCTATCAGTGAAATGATAAAATGAAGTCATTAACACTAGAACTTATAAGTACACTTTCTTGGTTGTTCTGCATTTCTTGAGTTTATGACCCACCAAGGCAGTGGGCAATACTGTCCCATCTCCCTCATTCCTGAGGCTTCTGTGCTCAGGACACCTTGCTCCCATCACAGACTCAGATCATCACCTTGGCAGCCATTCAATGAATTGTTTCCATTAGCATGGACTACAAAGGTGGTGGGGGAAGTGGAAGTGGAGAGAGTCATGTAGTTTACCAACATGGCCATAGGCGAGATATACAAGGAAAATGTCCCTGCTGACTTGTGCCATTGAAAATTCATCAGAGAAAAATGAAGTGTTAAAATGCAGTGGTTGTGAGCTCTTCTGCTCAAGGATATTCCCTGTGACACAGAAACAATCACGTGACCCACTTGTGAGCTACTGTGGACTTCATGCCAGTCAAGGCTGCTGACCTAGTTATACCATGATTACAGGGCCTTTATACTTCTATGAACCATTATTTTACATTTTCCTTCAGGCATAAAGACCACTTGCTACAAAGCTACGAGGCTTGGTGTCAATTTTTCAATCCTATATAAGTGAATACAACTCTTGCCTTGTTTCCTTTGCTCATCAGCTCTAGCTCAAAAGCAACTGATCTTTACGTGTTTAGTTTTGCTCTCTGAATCAAAGTTCATTGCTTTGATTATAACCCTGATTCCCCATATCACACCAAACAAAAACCTAACTCCTTTCTCTTATCTTTCACAGGCCCATGGGCCAACCATGGGCTTTGCATTCTGTCCGGAGAGGAGCCACATTAAACTTGATAGAGTCTAAAGTCCAGCAGAAGCCCAGCCATGCTTGGGGAGTGGGGGGTACCCTGGCCACTCAAGGGGACAAGAGGGAATAAGGAGGAATTGGAACTAGAGGAACAATCCATTGGCTGGGGTGCGTGTGGGCCACCTTTATCCACATAGCAATACCATCTTTGGTACTTTCTGAGCTGAGCACGCTGTCCCCCTGTTGGTACCCTAGCCTCTGATGGACTCTGTGCCCACTGCCAACAGCAGAAGACAGAGAACCTTCTTGCACAGCTTGTCTCTGGAGGTGAGGTGCTTCAGGGCTGTACATCGTGGGGAGACAACTCTTCTGTCCCATCCCAGAAGAAAAGGTTTTTCATCAAAGCTCTCTGATAATCTGTGAACTTTTCCTGACTATTCCATTTTATAATCATTTTACTCACATGACAAGAGTCTCTTGGAAGAAAAAATTTGTTCCTAAGACCAAAACCCACCAGTCACTTATAATTCAGTATGAATTATTCCAAATTATTTTCCACATAACACTGTCAAGTTCATAGAGCATATAAACAGGGCTTCAACAGTTCAGTGTTCTCTGGGGTGGGTGGCTGGGGGAGACTGGGGACTGAAGACTGTGATAAAGACCACCTCTTACATGTCTCCAAATCCTGATAGTTCTCCATTTGCAATTGTTATGATGTCATTATTATGCTCTGGCAAGGGAAAAAGTAAGTACCACGTAACTGCACACAGAACCCAAACCACAGTCCTTTTACTTCCAAAACCACTTGCTCCTTGCCACACTACGTTCTACAGAGAGGCTCCAGAGGAGACTTCCCAGGACGTGGGTTGTTTAGCTGGGGTCAAAGGAAGTACTTCCTGGATCATCTCAGATATTAATTTGGAATGCATTTCCCCCTGCTATTTGTGGGGAGTAGTGACTTTCTCTTGTCAAAGGATTTTGTCAGCGGGCATGCTGTTACACACCTTTACTCTTAGCTACTTGATTACAGAGATAGGAGGATTTCTGTTCAAAGGCAGCCTATGCAGAGAGACAGAGAGAGACAGAGAGAGACAGAGAGAGAGAGAGAGCACCAACTGTAGCAGTTCCCCTCCCTCCCGTAATTCCAGCTACTTGGGTGGTATAAGTAGGAGAATCATAGCTCAAGGTTAGCCTAGTCCAAATTGAGAATCTGAAAAACAATATAAAAGGGTTAGAAATGAGTGCTTGTCTAGAAAGTGTGAGGCCCTCAGTTTAATCCCCAGCATCTCACACTCATGCACGCACACACTCATGCACGCACACAAGGTTTGTAACATGTATACAAAGAGATCAGAATTCACGGTCCTCAGGCCGCTGTCTGTGTGGGCTGTTTTTCCTCCCGTAAAAACTTACAAGTAGAATACTTGCAAGATCAGGAATGGCTGGGAACGATGATGCTGGCTAGCATTTCTGTAACATGAATTCTTCTGTCCTTGGCCTGCGAAGCTGGGTCAAGCTTCTGACGAACTCAAAGCTGCAATTTCCTAACCAGCCCTTGAAGGCGGACAGTTTGTTCTTCTTGTTGGGGGTGGGGTGGGGTGAAGGAGAGTCATTTTAGAACTTTAGTTAATTAAAATGTTATAGAATGCTACAAAATTGGCTGTCCTGGTACTAAACTCTTTACAAATACTTGAGGTCAAGCCCTGCTATCATATGCTTACTCTTGTTTGCAGTCTCTCTCTCTCTTCCTCCCTCTCTCTTTTTCTTTCTGGCTCTCCTAGGGGCTTGAACTCAGGGCCTCAACTTCACTTGGCTTTCTTGCTCAAGGATGGTGCTCTACTACTTGAGCCACACCTCCAGCCCAATGTTTTACTGATTAATTGGAGATAGAGTCTTGCAGACTTTTCTGTTCAGCTGGCTCTCCAGGATGTGAGTCCTTTGATGAAGTATTAGATGCTGAGATCTGATGGCAGAAACTGAGTCACTGGCATCCCTCCCTTAATTTACATGGAGTGAAAATGACAGTGAGTGGTATCACGCATACACCTTTCATCAGCTTTCTTTACTGAAAATACTTTGATGAGCATTTTCTTGAAACTCAAAAGGATCTGAAGCATAGATCAAAGATCTTTTGTCTCTGTTTTTGAAATCTACTTGAAAGATATAACTTCTTAAAACACAAACCCAAGCGCCCCAGACATGGGCACAAAACAACTCAGAAGACATCCTGGGCTCCTGTCCTCAACAATACTTTGCACAGCGCCTAAGAACACCGACAGACCAAGGGCCACTTGCCTTCCCATATTCTGAGTCTGGTTTTCAAATGTCTGCAGCACCAAGAGGAAGAGAGGTTGAATCAATGCAGATCCTGATATCTGGGGGAGGGAAGAGGGTGATCTTTCCACTTTGATGCATTTTATGAGACTGCACATAACAGTGTCTCCTTTTATCTTAATGGTAATTAAATACAGTGTTCATACCAAAGTAAAGTGTATTGGTTTGCTATAGATGAATGTGTGTGCATGGTTGTTTTTTTTAAGATTACACACAATTAAAACAAGAAACCCCAAGCTGCCTTCCCAGTTCCGTGTGTGTACATCACATGAACATCCACCATCCTCCACCGGTAGATAGTTTGTGGGAAAAAGGAGAAGCACTCCTCTCCATGCCAGACCTACATGTCCACGTACCACTGTGTCCTTTGCCCAGATGTCCCTACCCTGCCCCACCCACGGCTGATGCCACTGGCTCTATGTCCCACGTTCATTTGCAGAAGCCTTCAAGGGCGGTGCTCAGCATGGGTCATTTTATATCTTTATCTCATCCAAAAACACTGCATGCAAGTTACTATTCAGACTTCAATGTGATATCTTTTTCCCTTGTCCCATTTTTCCTTTGATGACTTTGTAGTAACGGTAATGTAAGAACCTCTTTGCTTCCTAGCCTGGCTTTGAATGAGTTTTTCCATATGGAAATGGATGTGTGGTTCTCAAATGTAAGCATGAATCCATCACCTGGAGGCTTCTGAAAAGAGATTACTCTGCTCCGTGCCAAGAGCTGCTGTGAGAATTACTGACATGCTTAGGTCTCTAAGAGCCTGGGCGAGGCCAGACAGTAATGCAGGATGCCTTCCTGCTCAAAGTGGGCTGGTGTTCAGAGGGGCTGGTGACACCTGGGAGCTCATTAGAGCTGGCTGACAGCCTCTCCAGATTTATGGACTCAGAATCTACACTTTAACACAATTGCCAAATGATTGGATTACGCATCAGCATTTGAGAAACACTGGCAAGGTAGAAAAATAATCAGCTTTGGTGCCTTTTGCTTTTGAACTGCTGAGGATAGAATGCAAGTGTTCTACTGCTAAGCCACATCCCACCAGAGGTCCGTATCTTTTGGTAACTTTATTTCTAGCTGTGTAAACTTGTGGCACTTAGGAGCTTCATGAGTCTTCTTTTCTCATGGGTGTTTAGTGACTTGTACTTGCCATACTAATCAGGGTTATTCAGAGAAACATAACTAGCAGCATGCATGTATTTATAAGGATTTATAGTTAGAATTGCTCACGCGATTATGACGGTTATAAAGTGTCACCATCTGCCCTGTGCAAGCCCAGGGGTGGTGGTGTAAGTTCTGGGGTGCGACACCCTGGGACCTGCAGAGCCACAGCCCAGGGGTG